ACATCCTGGAAATTTTTGCGTGGCATCCAGATTACTTTGTAGGATGTGTCTGGGGACCTACCCGTATGATCACGCGGTTCAAAGTACTTCCCTGCTTGACCGCTGGCGTCTAGGATGACTTCATGGGCAGGACACTTGACACGGAAAGTGACAATGAAGATCTCTGCTTCCTCTGGTTTGCATCGTTTGTACTGTTTTGTCACATACTGGCGGTCCCAAACGTCAACGATGGAATCGGGATTTGCGGTGAACTCACTTTCAGCAAACAAAGTTCGCACCGGCTTGTCCGTGATATCGGTCCATTTGAGTTTGGTCTGATCCTGAAACACCAGTGCACGGATGACACGTGTTTCCACTTCCTCAATCTTGGTTGCGGATTGTGGTGTTGCTCTGTGAACTCGTTTCTGGCCTAGCTGGAAAAGAGCTCCCATGACCAACATTGGTTCACCCGTAGGTTTGCAGGTGGCTGGGAAACGTACCAAATCATGCGATGGCAGGCGAGGATCATCATGGTCAAGCACAATCAAACCTAGGCCTTCCTGTGTGAGTGGCACTTTCAACTGCAGGAAGGGTGTAGCATCATCAAAGGATACACACGCGATCCCTTTGCATTGGGCTTTGAATTGGCTAGGGGAAATCTGTTGCAAAAGGACTCCATCGGCTTGCTGGAAGATCGTGTTGGGGATCTGGACCTGATCGGCAATGAGGCGCTGGGGTTCCTGCGGCTTGGATTGTTTTGCTTTGTGTTGCTTTCTGCCAACGGCTTGTCCCGATGCGATTTTGCTGTCGATACTGGCTTGAAGTTCTTCACTCAAGACAATTCGAAAAGGAGGCTTCAACTGTGATGCTCTTGCTTTCAAGTCCTGCCATGGCTTTGGTGATTGTAATGTGCGTTGGATCACATCGGCTCCCAGCTTTTGCGTCAAAGCTTGTGCAGCTTGTGATGACCTGTTGCTGTTCACTCCGTGCTTTTCGAGGAGTTCTCGTAGTGCTGGCAAGTGCTGGTCAGATGTTCCTCCAAGCGGCAAAGCATATACTGGTGGATCATGTGCTCCTGACAAGACCAGATGGTGAGCAAAATTCTTTCTCCATGACTCAGCTTCATCGGGAGAGATTGCACGGTTGCTGTCCGGATCCAATGCTTGGTTGATGATCCATGCAATGGTCTGAAATCCACAATCATTGGCAAACGCATGGGGCATGTGTGTTCCACTTGCCTGCTGATATTCTTCCAGCATCTCAGCCTTGATCCATGCTGTTACTGCCGGCGTCATATCATATGTTGTTGTGATGGTGAAATTGTCATTGACTACTTCAACCATGATTGGAAACCAGTGATCTTTGAACAAACCCGCAGTCATGAGTTTCATTTGTTTGGACTCCTGCGCGCTCTCAACGGCCGTGAGGATCCAATCTGCCAAGATTCTTGGGTTTTCTGTTTCTTGCCTCAAGTCCAAAGGGCTGGTGGTGACTGCTGTCCCTGAAACATGTATTGTCTGAAGGTAAAAGATCATTTCATCCATCGCAACCCATCCTTTCTGATGCCAAAGGGCTTGGGAACGTTTCATTCCATCCAGGCATGGTTGGCCCTTTGGGTCTCCAATGTTATGTCCATGCTGAACAATTAGGAGTTGATGGTCTGGCATGATCTCGGACACTGACAATTGGAACCCCACCCCATTAACTGGTTTGAAAGGGTGATCGCCATGATTCCAGAGGTGCTGGAATTTTGCTTCTGTGCAAACTACTTGACCAATGGTGGACTCAGTTGAAACGGCAATGGGAAACATGGTTTCGTTCTCATGAGCAATCCAGCAAGTCTTGGTGTTGGCAATTTGTGACTCAGGAGGCTCGACCTGTTGCATGGATATTTGTTGATGCTCATTTTGGTGGTGTTCTCCGTCTTGGTGCACTCGGTCTGGTGCATTTGGATTGTCAAGCTTGGCTCTTTTTGTGCTGTTGCTTGCACTCTCTTCTACCGGTCGCTTGAGTGATGGCGGTGAATCAGGTGCTTTGCTGGTTTCAAAGCCTGTAACCCCTCCATTGGTGGAAAAGGCTGTAATTTGCATTGCTTGCGAGGCTTCTTTCACCGGGTTGATGCTTGTCGGCAAGGATTGGTCATGAGGGGCAATGCTCGCTAGTATGTATCCACCTTTGCCTTTGGCAATCCTGTCATTCATCTTGGCTTTTGTTGTGGAAACTGATGGACCAGAAAGAGGCTGCCTTTCATCCATGTCACTTCTGACATTGCCATGTTGGGCTTCACGTGAATCAACACCTAGGTCAGCAAAGGCATCTGATGCATGCTTGGTTTCTCGGCGAACGGATGCATTTTGCAGGCCGGATGCAACGGATGTCATCTGTTGATCTGTACACCGATCGGATGCAACCCTGGATGCTTCTGTACCTCGGATTTTGTCGGGATTCGGATGTCCTGTGCCTTCGGAGATGATGTGATCTGTACACCGATCGGATGCGACCCTGGATGCTTCTGTACATCGGATGCTGTCGGGATTCGGATGTCCGGCGTCTTTGGAGATGATGTGATCTGTACACCGATCGGATGCAACCCTGGATGCTTCTGTACATCGGATGCGGTCGGGATTCGGATGTCCGGTGTCTTTGGAGATGATGTGGTCTGTACACCGATCGGATGTAACCCTGGATGCTTCTTCATATCGGATGCGGTCGGGATTCGGATGTCCGGTGTCTTTGGAGATGATGTGATCTGTACACCGATCGGATGCAACCCTGGATGCTTCTGTACATCGGATTTTGTCGGGATTCGGATGTCTTGTGCCTTCGGAGATGATCTGATCTGTACACCGCTCGGATGCAACCCTGGATGTTTCTGGACATCGGATGCAGTCGAGATTTGGATGTCCTGTGCCTTCGGAGATGACGTGATCTGTACACCGCTCGGATGCAACCCTGAATGCTTCTGTACATCGGATGCTGTCAGGATTCGGATGTCCTGTGTCTTTGGAGATGATGTGGTCTGTACACCGATCAGATGTAACCCTGGATGCTTCTGTACATCGGATGCGGTCGGGATTTGGATGTCCGGCGTCTTTGGAGATGATGTGATCTGTACACCGATCGGATGCAACCCTGGATGCTTCTGTACATCGGATGCGGTCGGGATTCGGATGTCCGGTGTCTTTGGAGATGATGGCATGGTCGGATGCATCGGGTATGGGCGCCACTACGGTCGGAGAGATTCGATCTGTGTTTGTCGTCCCTTCGGCTGCAAGTCTGTCTTCTGGGATTCCAGCATTCCTAGGGTATTCGGATGCATCCCTTGGGAACTTTGTACACGGCCCGCTGTCTGGTGCAGATGCTCCATGAATGGATGTCTCGTAGGTTCCAATCAGGTTGTTGGGTTTTGGATCCTGTTCGGTGTTTGCTGTACAACCGGCGCGGGGAATCTTTGTACACGCTCGGGCGCCCAACTTTGCTTCACCTGCACCTTTCGGCCTGAATTCCATGTTATCCAACTCCTCAACACTTGGAAAGCAAAAAGGATGATCAATGCTGTTAATTTCATGTTGGAAAATCCGGTTGTATTTCGTGTCAGCATGTGGCCAAATTTCATCCCTTTCCTTCAGCAGAATTCGACAAAACTGTGCTAGGGAATGCCTGGGATGTTCCACCTGTTGAACCAGTCCTTTGTCCTGCAATTGGTACAAAACGTTGGCAAACACCCACAAAGATTGGAGTGGCGATGCGCATTGACCCACTCCGGCCAGGTCAAGTCGAATGTTGCTGGTGTCGGATGCTTGCAAGTATGACGGAGGGAGTCCGCACATCAGTGATACCTCAGTCGGGTGTAAATGGCGCGCACGGAGAGACATGTGAGGCTGCTTTGCATCCTCAAACGGCACAAGCACTCCGTAAATCCCCTTGCCTGTTGGCATCCCCTTACATGTGTTAATGCAATGTGATCGGATACCCCTTCCATCCGTTTGGAAAGCACTGAGTTCATCATCATCAAGTACAAGTTGTTTCATGTCGCATGTGTTACTGTCCATCATGTTGGGGATGAGATGAAGAATGAAAGGATCAAACCGCAGAGATGGCATGGGAGGAATGTCTTCAAGCGGGACATACTCTGCTGCAATGGTACACCACCATCTGTCCCTGCGTCCTGGCCACATGTGATGCATCTGCAGTACCTCTTGTTTGAAAGTACTTCCTGTGAGCTTACTGTGCAATTCTAAATGGCTTTGAATCCATTGGGATCGCTTGGCTTGAGGGGTACATTCCAAAATGGTCATGACTGATTGTAAAAGATAGCTCAACTGAAGGGTTCCAGTGAAAGACCTGCTATGATCATCCAGTGAAAACGGTTGACATGAGATACCTGCGCTCACCATCTTTCCAGACCCGGTCTGCTTTGCGACTTCGGCCGCCGTAGCTGACGCTGAGATGTCTCCTTGAATCACTTGGACTGAGTACCTGTCTTTCACCCATTTGCAAAAGGTCGGATTCTGCTCCACGAAAAGGCATGTGTCAACTCCCAAAAATCTGAAACCAACGTCAACTGCCCCGATTCCTGCACATCCCTCGATCAACTGCTGAAGCTTCTCAATGTTTGTCGACTGATGCTCTAGCAAAAAAGAATCACTTCTGAAATCCAACCAAGGCCTACGACCATTCAGGAAAGATACCTTGAATAATGTCATCTTCATCGTGTTTCTATTGATCGGAGCATTGGTGAGGAAAACTTGGTGGTTGACCATAGATCTGCAAACATGGGCCCCAGGGCAGAAAATCAAAACCTGTGCCACCACATCTGTCTGCTGGCCATCCGAAAGGTCAGAAAACGAAGGTTCCAGGAAATTGGATGAAACGCCCATGGCTTAATCTACCCGCCCGAAGTTTGGCCAGGACCGCTCTACCCCCCTTGAGCCATCCATCATTTGCAGTGTAAGCCAACAAAGAACGAATCTAAATTTAAGCTGGACTGGACATGGACTATCTCTCTGTCACCGAGGAACTTCCATTTCAAGACTTGCATGGAATCAAAACCTGTGCAGGAGCAGGGGAGCAACAACATGGTGTTTCTAGCCAAAAAAAACAAAAAACGGTGAGGAATCATATAAGTCTATCAGATTGCAAAAGTATATGGGAAGATTTCAGGAGCTCTATGGCATAGAATTGATGTGCTGGTTTGGCTTTCAACCCATCCCAAACATATCCGAAAAAGTATCGACTGGAAGAAATCGGGTCCGGACGGTCGACGGTTTCAAGCTGCGTGGAGGGCATCAACATAGATTATCATTTAGGATATATATATAGGTCAAAATTGGGTACCATCAAAAAAATGGATGGTTAATATACCAAACATATATTGAAATCCGTGGTCCCACAGGGCTTAAATTTTGACACATCCCAATTTGTTTAAACGCACTAGGCACAATGCACCGAGTTTTTTTAGGTTTCAAGTTCAAGGGATTCAAGAAGAAAGATCCCGGCGTCTGTCGGTCCCAAAAAGATGGAGCCGAGTTAAGTAATTCCTATCGCTTGGGAAACCCGGTTTGAAGGGGGTCTATACTTTGCAAAAACCTGCTTGAAGGTCACTTCTAATGTTCCGCCCACAATGAACAACCATCTGTGGAATTTGGTCATTTGAGATCATAAAGATACCAATCTGCTTGTCAGAACAAACATCTCTTGGGGCGCAACTGATTCCCTTGAAACATTCACCTGCCACCCAGACGCTTCGTGGATATCTTCGCGGCTGGTCTTCGGGAAGGAACGTCTGCTCCTGGGTGGACCAATGGACCATTCGAGGATTCGATGACTGGTCATCCCATGATGAAAATATGAGATTCTGATGTCTTGCTTATAAACCACTATAAACCCACTGTGGTCTAAGGTTCCCCCCATACATGATTGAAAGAGAAGCATCTGTGCAAGCAAATAAAAATTAAACTGTACTCATGCGCTCCAAAAGTGCACAGGCAAAGACCAAAAGTACAGCCTAGCACGCAGGGCCAGCAAGCCTCTCTGCAAGGACAGGGTATATGTAAAAATCAGGCACCCCTTACACTTTGATTGGTCAGTATCGTGTGATTGGGAAACTCTGAATAACTCCATGGCTTCCTATCCTTTTTGGTCCGAATATGGATACCCATAGCCCCGAATCGCTGCCTCCGACAAAAAATCAAGAGTTGAGAAGTTACGACAAAAATCTCCAGTCACCCTAAACCCACAGAAAAACGATTAATTTATGTGGGTAAAACAATTCATAAACCATCCCAGAAATCACCATAAATAGCTTCTATAAACCATTCCCAAATGGGTGGTTTATGGCATTGCTTTTCCCACATTCGCCACTATTTTGGTTTTAGAACTTAAATAGTTAGAGTTTATTTATGTTTAGATGGTTTATCCCACTTTGTCTTATTTCTATTTTGGTTTTAGATGGTTCTATCATAATAGTTCCCAAAGATAGTCTAGTTATGTCTAGTTTGGTTTTAGATGGTTCTATCATTATTTAGGTTTAGACGGTTTATCTTTTTTTTTGTCATCATGAAAAATATGAGTCAGTTGGGATTATTGCTATTCCCAATATACGGAAATTCATAAAACATGTTCCAAACCACCAACCAGTTACATAATCTTATATATGCTTTAGGTTTTAGATGGTTTCATGACGGCCCACGATCTCCTTCAAGACATCCCTGCGCTTCGCTTGGCGCCGCCCTGGTGCTGTCTGCACGCGGGGAACTCCACCGGGGAGGACGCAGTCGGAGGTGGGCCTGGCGGAAAAGGCGGGAGAATCGCCCAAGGATGGGAAGAAATTGTGTTTTAATGAGGATTTAATGGGGCTTTGGAGTGAATTATTGGGATAAATGTAGGTTTATTGGTATATGATATTTTGCCCATGAAACAGGTCTTAATTAACTTGAAGAACAATGGATACAATAATTCATGGATACATAATGAGATATGAGTGGGATCTACCCTCTGGTAGTCAAACATGGCAATGTGATAGTCCCTGTAAACGGATGTTTACAGCTGGGAACATCATCTATAGGGAATCTTCCAGCAAGCCATTTTTGATTACCAGAGGGGTACACCCATGAACAGCCCTGAATGAGCTCAAAATGATCTTTGGTTACCCTCTGGTAAATTAACATAGACCCTGGCAGATAGGGGTTGGAAGATGATTTCCATTAAAAATTGGTTAGTTTCAGGGTCTATGTTTATTTACCAGAGGGTAACTGTTTTATTTGATAAAACTTGATCTACACACTTAACTACAGGAAATATATGGAAATATCATGATGGATATCATGATGGATAATGATATCCGCAGCTTAGAAAAACCATGATATGCTGTAGAATGGGATGTTACGCCATATCATATTGGCGGGATGGTTGGACAAACCACTTATCTAAATCTGTCAAGGAATTGCTTGTTCATTTTGGATGCAGAAATATCATGAAATATCAACATTTTAACAAAAACGCCAACCAGAGGAGACACTTTCCTATGTTTTCGTGTTTCGATGCAAGCAGCCACTACTCTAGGTAGACAAAATAATCAAACCCATTACCATGGCTGATCCCCCCATGCACAAATTCAACATTAGATCCGGTGCAGGTGCATGGGTCCCAATGGACGAACGAAAACCAAAGCCACACTGCCACACGTGCTGCTCAGCAGAGTTGCTGCCTTGTTTGATGGCACAATACTTGACCAACTCATTTCCGACGGATGCAATCAAGACTGAAATTCTATGGCTTAGCTGCCATCAACATCCATTGACTATTAACCACTATTAACCACTATTAACCACTATTAACCACTATTAACCACTATTAACCACTATTATCCCCATAAACATCCATTAAATCCGCAATTTTTCTGAAGTTCACCATGGTTCACCACCATGGTCACGTCGCCAACCCTTTAAAGGCTACCGCCTTGGCAGGGGCCACCAGCGGGGCCAAGGCTCGGCCAAACTGGCGCTGTGACAGCGCTGTTTGAAGATCTGATCCTGGGAGTCACACATTTATAGATATGGTGATAATATTGTGGTATATAATTATAATAATAGTACTGTATGTTATTGATGTATCGATAATATTGTATGTTATTGTGGTATTTAATCTTGTGATAATAATAGTGAATAATATATAATTATTGTGGTATATATAACCATAACTATGGAACATCACCATCCATTTATATAGATATATATCCCATCATTTAGATAATAGATGATAATAGTGGTTAATAGATAATAGATGATAATAGATGATCATAGATGATGGCCATATATCCCATCATTTAGATCATAGATGACAATAATGGTGGTTATCATCATACCACAATCATAGTGGTTTTGTAACACCAATTTTGTGAGAAAAACGATTTTTTTTTGTTCTTTGCAGATTCGAAGAAATATATTCCATGTTGATGTTGTAGTTGTGTTAAACGTTCTTTTGTTCTTTGCAGAGTCTTTGATTTTTTGAAAAATTCTATAGACTGTTTAAAAAAAAACAAGTAAAAAGGAATGTGATACTGGTTGGTGGTTGAGCCCTACCCCTCTGAAAAATCATGGAGTTGGTCACTTGGGATGATGACATTCCCAATAGATGGAAAAATAAAAGCCATGTTCCAAACCACCAAGCAGAAAGGAATGTGATAGGTACGGGTCAAAACATTGGAGAAAACGAAGCACAACGAACATGTGAAGCCATGCCACATCTGGCGAGAAAAATGTAGGGCTGACCAAATGTAGGGCTGACCCCTAGAAATGGCTTTGCTACTGCTGTATATATATATATATGTATATATATATATACATGTGTATATATATATATATATATTGAACCAGCTCCATGATTCATCGCCAGAACCAAGGGCATAGCCGCTACTAGCCAGCCGTTTTTTTTGGCTTTTCCCCCATCCAAAGGTGGCGGACTCTGCCGATCATCCGGCAAGATCTGCCAATTGACCTATATTTTTTGCGCTACAAAATGACACAAAATAATCGTCATTCCAATCATTCTTGGCCATAACCCACGTCTGAACATCCATTGGTAAAAAATCATCACCGTATCTTTACCTGGATTTGCTTCAGGGACCACCAAAAATTAAGACAAGATTCCCTAAAAAAATCGATTCCCCCGGGGCTTTCCCCATTGGAAAAATGAGCCAAATACCCTTGAAAACAAAGCCAGAAATGATAAGTCATAATCCCATTCATGACTGGTGGTTGACCAACCCCTCTGAATAATGATGGAGTGAAAGTATGTGAAAGTCAGTTGGGATGATGACATTCCCAATATATAGAACAAATCAAATTCATGTTCCAAAATGTTCCAAACCACCAACCAGATTTCAATTATTTCATTCTGCAGGGGCCATATCCAGGTCTTTGAGCGCTCCCCAGGACCTTCCCCGCGACTCTCCTGTTCTCGTAGGCTGCGCAGCACCGCGCTGGCCTTGTCTTCCCATGTGGCTTCACAGCGCATGCGTTGCACCTGAAATCGTGGGGAAATCATGGGGAAATCATGGGGATTTCATCGGAAATTATACAATCAATGGGATTTAAATATGGAAATAGTGGTTAATAGTGGTGAATCACTATTCGAATGGATACTTCATGGGATGTTGAATGGGATTTACCATCTATTCGAACATGACAAAGGACAGATCCCCTACAAAAGGAGGCTCTAATGCGAAAATCATCTAGAAAATTGCCCACTTATAGTTGATTTACCTATTAAAGATGGTGATTTTCCATTGCCATGTTTGATTACCGGAGGGTAAGGAGAACAAACGCAGTTTCAACCGCTTTGGGGATGAAATCATCATGCATTACCACTCTGCCGTCGCAACGTCTGGATAAATCTGTCGTGTATGTGTATATATATATATACACATAATGTATTTGTATATATATATATGTCATGTATATGTATATATTATAATGTGTATATATATATTATTATTATTATTGTTATTATTATTATTATGTATATATATATATTATAATGTGTTACATTTCAATTTTCTCAGGTATAGCATCGTATAACACTGGTATTTCTTCAGCAAATTTTAGCAATCTAGATGTCATAATATATTTGATAGCTTCCTACTGCCAATTCACCACAGATTTTTCAAGTCCATCTGAGCTGTTCCTGTCCGCACCTGCTCCAGCAAATCTTCTCGCTCCGGAAAGCTCAGTAACCACAAGTCCACGGAGCACAACAGCAGAACCTGGTCATCTGGATCTGGATTTCATGGGATTTCATCGGGAAAGAGTTGTTAATAATGGTGAACAAAAAATAATGGATACTCACTGAGATATTTAATGGCTAGTTGTGCTCATGGCTCGTTGCTAGTGTAGAAGTGCCATAGCTTGTGTGAAGAAATGCACTAGTCACTACAACAGTTGGCCAAATACCACTCAAATCCACGGGATAATCGCAATTGTCCTCGTTAAAATAATCATTTTGAGGCATCCCCGATTTTAAGACACACCCAAAGTCATCAAATGTTGGTTCTGTTGGTGATATATTAACATATTCATTGCATATAAATCTCCCCAAAGAATTGTTACGTCTCAATCCCATCTATAAATCGTGTCTTTGCCATTGCCAAAAACAAACAAAAAAACACCAGCTGAGAGCTCTTTGTGGAACCAACCTCCCCACCACTAAATCCCCATCTTCCCAGCCTCTAGACCGAAGGTGGCCACCAACACGGAGCGTTGCCGCAGGAGCCGCTGACCCAGCCGCAGGGCGCTTAAGCGCTGCTGCTCCAGCACTTGCCACAGCTGGGCCATGGTGGCGGTGCCGGTACCGGCACGGTGACCGTGGTGAAAAAAAATAGGGGTAAAAGTGCTGGGGGATGTTGAAACGAAGTCAACGAAACTACTTTACTGATCCTAGAGATTTGGGAATCATCTTGAAATCCTTGGTGGATTGGGGATGTTGAATTCATGATGGGGATAGAACTCATAGGCCATGACAAAAATCCATCAAACATTGTAACATGGTGCTTAAGACATCCAAAGCTGTGGGCTTTGGATTTCTAGGCAGTAATTAATAGGACGTTCAAAAAATGGCATGTTTACTGGAAGATACCCTCTGGTAAACTAACATAACTATGGAAAATCACCATGTTTATTGGGAAATCTCACTATAAATGGCCATTTTCAATAGCTATTTTGACATAACCAGAGGGTAAGTGAATGTATCCTCTAACATTGCTTATCTCATCTCCCTTAGTTGATCCCATCCACTTTTTGCCGTCCAGAAAGGTCCCCCATGATAATCCCAGTTTACAGTGACATAGCGAGGTTGTCATGACTTATCCATGACTTATCCATGACTTATCCATGACTTATCCATGATATATATATATATACTTAATCCCACTAAATTCCCATGAATTTCCCATTAAGTCATGTTAAATCAATTTAAAGCACCATCATGGCACAGAAACGCTTCTGATGGTGGTTGGTTCTAGTAGAGTAGTTATATCATTTTATATCTCGTTCTTGGTTGATATCTCTATTAAGTATAATCAAGTCTCCTAATACTATAAACCTCTATCAAAGAGATAAATCAACTCTATTTGTTAATATCACGTATCTCTATTAAGTAGAGTATTTATATCTCATTCTGGGTCGATATCTCTATATTTCTCTAAGCATCATCAAGTCTCATTTTTTAACCTCTATTAAAGCCCAGTAAACCCATCACTACCGGCACTACCCGACGTGGCGCCGCGTGGCGCCGCGTGGCGCCGCGTGGCCTCGCGCAGCAGCTTCTGCACCTCGTCGCGCACCTTCTGCGGCGTCACGGCGGAGTGCACGACGCGCAAGGCGTCCGCGAGGAGCTGCTCCTCCTTGGAGCAAGAGTGGGGAGACCGGGGACAACCAACGAAACATTGGGATTTAACTTATAGCATCTTATAACATCTTATAACTTGATTTAAGCCAGAGAAATTTAACTTACAACATGATTTAACATGATTTATGCCAGAGACGTGGTGATTGAATCTGCTCAAAAGAAGGGAATTCAGGGAATTCACTAAAAGGTGAGAGCAGTGGGAGATAGTGATCTCAGGAGGTGGATCCAAATTGGTGATTTTCCACCGGAACTTCTGAGGGATGGATATGTTTAGCCCATTGAAGTCTTACTGGTGCGTGGTAAACCTAGGGTTGCTGGATGGGTTGCTGGTGGTTGCTGGGATGATTATTCATAGTTAACCAGTGGATCATTCCCGAAAATACCCTACGTTTAGCACTTAAGTCAGTTTTAGATGATGATACACATACCCTCTGGTTATTTGTTACATAGCCATGGGAAATGGCCCATAGAAATAGATGGCTTACCTATCAAAAATGGTGATTTTCCATGGCTATGTTAAATAACCAGAGGGTATATGGGATCTTAATGGGATAACGGGATCTAATATGGATTATCCCATGATTATCCATGATTATTACTATCTATTATTAGATCCCGTTATCCCATTAAATAACCAGATGGTAAATTTAGGGACCATTTTTTCAGACGTGTCCGGATAGGATCAGGTCCAGGGTCGATTCATAGGGGTCCTGGATTCCGCTGGATTTCGCTGCTTTTGAGCATCATTGATGACATGAAACAAATATATTAGAATAACTTAACTATAATAATACTATTATTACTATTATTATTATTACTATTATTATTACTATTATTACTATTATTATTATTACTATTATTATTACTATTATTACTGTTATTATTATTATTATTACTATTATTATTATTACTATTATTACTATTATTAATATTATTACTATTATTACTATTATTACTATTATTATTACTATTATTGATCATGACGATTTTTTGAGAGGTAGATCAGCCATAAATCGAACCATAATCCACTGGGATAAAGGCCACTGGAAGAACATCCTGAAATATCTGAAATGTCGCTGAGCTTTGATCAGCATAGTGTCTAGCAGATCTGTTTTCTCGTAGGGATGAGGGATCAATGAGGATGTGAAGATTCAGTGAAGATATCATGGAGATGTGATAAATCCTGGGTTTTTGAGCCACTGAATACGTAGGTATTTCCAGGGTATGTCCACCCTCGGAGCCCAAAAGGCCAAGAGTGGGCGCGCTGAAATCCCTCTCAAAATTTCAAGAATATATTAACCTGGGGTAAATTGGGTAAACAAAGTAACATAGTTAAAAAGATGTGGAAAACCCCATGGCCCATGGTTACCCTTGGAAAATTGTCCGAAAAATCAATGGTGGGCTTTCCAGATCGAAGCCTTCACAGGATGGTCATCCACCATTTGGTTGAGATCTCCCGAGCGTCTGATGCTGCCCAGTCGTCGATGCGCACTTCCAGCAATGGGAAAAAGCCTGCCATGGCATAGTGAAGCGGAGCAACACCACGAAGTGAAGTGGTGATGTTCAATAACTAGTACAGTAACATGTTGTAACACCTGCAATTGGCTGGGTTTGTAATTATCTAATTTGCAGGTATAGTCGCTGACCGTTGCTATATGATGCATCTTGAGCTCTCGAAATTGTAGGGAATACAAGTTATTTTGGATAATCTTAGAAACTGTATAGCACCAGTACATGATGCTTAGTTGGGTATAAGTCAAAGATAGGGTACCAGGTACAACCCACACAATTTTTCTCAACATTCGTCAGATTTGTCATCAAATCATCCAGTTTCTGGTAATCCCATTGGGTAAACTGCCAACCAGCTGAGTTTCTCTGAAAATCTTTGCTATTTCCTCCAGCCGCATGGCCAGGAAATACGGGGAAATCGTGATCAACCAGATTCTATGGTTTCAAAAAAAAACAGAGTAACCCATATGATCAATACCAATGTATAATGATAGTTATGAACCATTAATATCCCACCAATTCATGGAGAATCAATTTATCAACTATCATTGCCCGGGATTCGCCAGCTGGCCCAAATTATCAACCCCATGAAAATAAGGTTTTTACATAGATATACCATTGATCTGGGCAAATTATAATAATTCACTTTGGTTAGACTATGATATTTGATCAACTATCACTAACTATCACTATCATAGATTTACCATTGATATCCCATTAATATACCCTTTTTTGTCAAATTCCTATTTTCAGACTTAGCCATTTTTACAGTTGGAGCCATCTGCAGCAGCCAAGTGCAGCTCCGTTGCGCAGGCGTTCACGCTTAGGGTGCCAATCATCCATGGCACAGATCGTGGAGAAGATATGGATTTCCAAAGTACTGACATGTTGCATGTACTTGCATCTACTGTCTAGTTCCAGTTTGAAGTGGATATCTATGTGCATAATTGTGTATATATATATATATGTTATAACTTGTATAACCATAGTCATAGGGTTTATATTAGTTTATATCCCAACCGATTGGGCTTATTTCACAATGCTGAAAAACCGTGGTACCATGTGATACCCTCAACTGCCTCGAAAATAAGTCCGACGACAGTCTTGCCCTGGCATAGAGATATCCTCTGGTAAACGAACAGTTTGCGAACTGGAAAATCACCATCGTTGAATGGTATCATTATGTATCATTGATCGTTTGCTGCATGGGTTTGTTTGAAAATTGGATACCCTCTGGTAAACTAACATAGCTATGGAAAATCATTATTTTTAATGGGTAAATCCACTATAAATGGCCATTTTCAATAGCTATGTTAAATTACCAGAGGGTAACTATGGGAAATCACCATCTTTAAATTAATGGATCATCATGGATCATCATGGATCATCATGGATCATCATGCTTGGTTTGCCCTCTGGTAAACTGTGCCATAACGAACTGGAAAGATCCACCATATTTTGTAGCTGGGTACATCAACTATTTCTATGGGCCATGGCTTCAATAGCAAACTGATAAATTACCAGAGGGTTTCCAGATTTTGTTTTTTACTTTTTTACGGTTTTTGTTTAAAGCAAAAACGGTCTTCATGTCTTCGTGTTGAATCCATGGCAATGAGCGGTCACTGTTGGTGCAATTGGTTGCGTCCCCTTCCTGCGACTTTCTTGCTATTCCAATCATGTCTGGCCATGGCATGGCTGCGGGTCACGCAACATCCCAATCACCCTCATTCTCACCATCTCCATACCCTGCTATAATATATATATATATAATATATATATAACACATTATATAAGATGCATGTGGCTGAATTATAATACATCATCCACCTAAAATTAAGTGCTTCTGTTTGGCAGATTCACTGAGCATCGTCCCGTGTAAAAACTCCTCTCGAAGCTTGTTGCGCATGCGATTCATCTCGTGCTCCTCGCCATGAACCAAGACCTGGGAAGCGGCTTTCGCGGAGACTGGCCGGGGAGCTTGGACTGAATAAATTTGGATAGCTGCTTTATGGCTCATAACACTGGTGAACAAATGGTTTGCAACCACTGTTTCAGTCCAATCACGCAGGGGTTGATACTCCCGTTGGGAGACCCAGTCATTTCAAATGCCTCAACTTATTTTTACAAAATTCCTATGGAAATGATGGATAAATATTAATATGAACATGGTATAAGTAACTGTCAGTAACCATGCTTCCATCCCGGAGTTTAAAACCACATTTTCCCTATGACAAACCATACATTAGGGGGAGAAATCCTGCATTTTCTGGGCAAACTCATCGCGAAACCTCACCAATCATCAAAATGTTCAACCACAAACATGGACTTTCAAGCTTTACCTCCTATGAAACTACACTACTTGGTGGCTCGTGCAGTTAGCAAATGGCTTGTCACCCAGTTTTCCAGCAGGGTTTTTGCAGGGTTTTTGCGAGTTGCTGGGGTGTTCGTTCACCCATTGGGATGAAGCACCAAGTAGGATGGATATATCCATATGTCCATAGATATATCAATAGACATATCAATAGATACATCCAATCATCCATAGATATCCATAGTATTCTATAGCTAAACCATGTTGAACTATCTAAAATCGCTAAATTATCGCTTGTTGGCACAAAAAATTGCCGAGGCACCACCACGTTGGCTTTGAGGCGTCGGATGAACTCGGAAGTCTGGTTGTAGTCCTGGGCAAAAAGGTGGAAGACCTGGGGGTAGACGGGGTATAGGATATGAGTTGGGGATATGTTCTAGAATATGTAATCGGTTTAACACTCTTGAATCTAAGTATAGGATATAAATAGGATCTTTCTGGCGATATTTATGTGGGTATTTATGGATTCAATATATGATACTATATGCGGTATACCCTTGGTTTAATTTCTCCCTTCTGTTTCTCTCTTGTACTTTCTATAACTTTGGTTTAATTTCACCCATCTCACTGGAGATAGGTTTACCTTTTCAGCCATAGGAAACAACCAATCATCTGAGGGCCCCAATGCAGCCGACCCTCGACCCTCTCCCCACCGAATGGGCTGAGAAGGACATGAACTTCACGGTGGCTTTCACGTTCACCTTGGCTTCGCGGCCCGTGCGCATGAAACCCTCAGGTTTCAAGCCCATCATCATCCAATTCCAGCAGACTGAAATTGTGGTGTCCAGGATTGATGAACTTGTCATTGAAACATGTCTGGGTCAATAAAACTAGCGTTGAAATGATCCACTGGCGATGTTTGAGCTGCCCAAAGATGCGACATTTGACCAAGCTCTGGTTATCACTGGAGGCTTTCACCACCCGTTCAACAGGGTTTTAACAAAGCAAATTTGGCCAAAAAAACAAAAAAACAACAAAATCACCCGGGACTAGTCTTTACAGATACTCTACAAATGTTCACAACACGCTGTAAGCAACAAATGTGGGATCATCAATTCTGGTTGGTATGCGGAGATCAACAAATATGCTCCTCGGGCATCACCATCCCGATCTCCAATCAAAATGGTGGATCACCCACCGGTTGGTGGTTTGAAACCAATCAAAACAGAGTCATGAGTCATGGGGATAACATCATCCAAGGTAGGGGTTGGAAGAGATTCAACCGAGCTCAGATAAATTGCATGGACATATGTATCCAACTGAAACCAAGTGTAGCCACGTTGGTTGCTCATGGGCTTGTTTTTCCTTTGATTACTTAATGGTTGAGACCCTCCTGTTGTACATGTATCGTTGTTTTTTTTGCAATGTGTTTTTTTTGATGATGAATGTGTTTTTATGCATTTCATGTATACAAACTAGAGTTTCTACGAAAATAATTCGAAAACCCAATGGTTTCTCATCATGTTCCACATTGGAAGTGGCAATTTTGGGGCACCCTCTGGTAATCAGACATGTTTTTTTGGTCAAAATCTCCCATTGATCGATGATCGATGATAGCCTAAAACAACCTTCCACTTACCCTCTGGTTATGTCCAAATAGCTATTGAAAATGGCCATTTATAGTGGATTTTCCCATTGAAAATGGTGATTTTCCATAGTTATGTTAGTTTACCAGAGGGTATATCCATTGACAGTCCATTTTCATGGAATTTTCAATTGTAACGTTTGAACAAATCGTTTGAACAAATCTATGAAAATCCCCCCATGTTTCTCAGGGTATTTTCCAGCCCCCAGCCCGAAGTTCCCACCTTGCGGCCGTCGTTCAAGGTCACGCTCTCCTTAGGAGTGTTTCACTAGGGATGGGGTATGCAAGGATGCAACAAAAAATTCAACGGATTTATTTTTTGGACGTACGTTGAACAATAATATAGAATCATTAATATAAAATCCATCTGTTACCACTTCTAATTAAGAATAATCTTCCAAACACCTTTTTGGGCGGTACATAGCTGATTTCAGGGAAGACCGCCATCACCGTCACCTTTTTCTCATGATGGCCAATTTGAAAAATGATGTTCCGTCAGGGAGACAAAAGTGAGATCAGTCAGGACTCGTTGGCCCAATTCTTTCAGTTCCCATATTTGTGAAATCACACTTAGGGGCTCAACCACCGTTTCAATCTTTTAAACAACATCAACCCCCCCAACCAAAACATATCTATACTAACAAATTCCAGCAAAAAAGTGTGAAACCACAAATCGCATGACTATGGCTTCAAATCTCCAAACTTTCCCATGACTTTGCTGGGGATGACCTCCCCATCTCCGGCCGTCCCAACAGAACCCCCAGGGCCCCGTGGGAACCACGGGAAGTCCCGGGACGGCAGTCGCCCAGGCGCTGGATCCCCTTTCAACTCGTGCGCCAATGTGCCGCTCACCGAGTATCCGGTGACGATGACGCCATTCCTATGGGGAGTCGACTTCGACGGATTGAATCTGGGGATGAGTCAAAACTTGAAGCCCCAGGAGGGAACACAAATGGTATAAAAAATATATATATATGTATATAGATATATATATGAAACAGCTAATATGAGTATATAAAATAATATATATATATATATATTATATATATATATATGTATATGATATATATATATATATATATTATGAACATATATGCACAGTGTTTAATGATAGCTGGTTCAGAATGACACATACCACAGTCTTTTTGTTGAACCCGCTAATGATTGGGTACCCAATGACTTGACCTATACCCATAAAGCCAATTAAACTCCCGATTTCCAGAATGGTATATGTATATCCCATGAGTTTTAATGGGAATATATCAGTAAGACACCCAATAATGGTGAATTTAAGAACAGTGACTATAAATATATATATATATATATATTGTGAATGTTCAAGTATTCCATCAGCTTCACTACAAATCACACGGTCTCCTAAGGTTCACAAGCCGGTAACAACCATTTCCTTTGTAGTCCTTTCGGCTGTGGTCAGCCTTGGGTGGAGCAGGGTGGGACGTGGACTTTTGCCATAACGCGTCGTGGCCGACGACACATAGAGATTTGGATCGGAACATCAGTTGTTCCTGGGCAAAGCTTGTGGTGCAAAAAGGAATCTATCGGGCGCGGCAGCCCTCAGGTGAGTTTGGGAAACATCACTGCAGATACCGCTACCAATTGTGGGGTCACTCACATTGGTAGCGGAGCTACCAGAGCTCCAGGGGGGCTGAGAAGTCCAATCAGCAGTTGAAGGGCGCAAAGCCTGGCGTTGAGAGGACCGATGTCTGAAGCCTCAGATGGAAAATCCGACACTCAGGTGCCAAATCAGTTGACGTCGTTAGTGCCACAGTTTGACCCTGCTCAGCATGATCTTGAACAGTACACGCAGAAGGTAGAGTTGCTGACCGAGATCTGGCCACAGGGGAAGATCAACGAACTGATCACCAGGTTGATTCTAGGAACCAGTGGTGCCGCTTTTCAGAAACTGCAGCTCCAACGTAGCACTTTGCTCACTGGGGACAAAACTGGAGTTGAGAAGTTGGTAACAATCCTGGGGGGTCACTGGGGAAAGATTTCACTGGAACGTAAATATGAGAAGTTCGAGAAGGCAGTTTTCAGATGTGTACAGCGTGCAGATGAATCAAATGATTCTTTCCTAGCTCGTGCAGACATCCTTTGGTCCGAACTCCTTACCAGCAAAGTAACCCTGGAAGAGCTTCAAGCATACATAGTGCTCAGAGGAAGTCAGCTCAGTGCAGATGACAAGAAACGTGTGATCCTGGAAAGTGAATCATCCAAGGAAAATGCTTTGGATATGTCAAAGGTCACCAGCTCTGTTCGAATGCTTGGATCAGGCTTTTTCCATGATGTTACAGGTATCAAAAAGGCCAAGGGAAAGATCTATGACGCTCACACCATGTACACCGAAGAACATGATGAGACCGAGACAGCTCTAGTGACTGAAGAATGGGATGAAGAATCATGGATAGAACAACTAGCAGCTGATGGTGATGAAGATGCGGTGCTGATCTGTGAGTATGAAAGTGCAATGCAGGACACCCTCCAGGAGGATGAATCTCTTGCCACCACCCTGAATGCCTACACAGATGCACGACGCCGTCTCAATGACCGCTTCAAGAATCGTGGCTTTTGGCCCACTTCAGGGTCCAAAGGCAAATCGAAAGGAGCCAAAGGCAAGGGCAAGGGCAATTTCAAAGGTGCCCGTAAGAGCTTGCAACAGAGGATCCTGGAATCAAACTGTCGCCATTGCGGCAAGCGAGGACACTGGCGTGCCGAATGCCCAGATAGACTCCATGGAGGTTCCAGCTCAAACTCCAATGCTCAAGCTCCTGCGATGATGGCACTTAGCCAACACATGGACGGTGATGAGACCCTGCCTTTAGAGTTCATGATGCTGCCTGAGATCGTTGAAGATGCCCCTGCTGTTACCAGACCGCAGGAAGTGAACGTCACATGTCACCACCAAGGGTTTTCTAAATGTGGAAATAAAGATAATGAAACAAATGATATCCAAGGGGTTTATCCTAACCTTAATCGGGGTAGGGATAAGTTTGGGGTTTTGCAGCCACACTCCGTGCCAAGGAGTGACCAAGTGTGCCAAGTCCAGCCAAGTTCATGCGAAGTCATGAGAGCATCCGCTCGTGCCACAGGTCTCGCAGAAGACGAGACAATCATGTTTGCGTCACATGGGACATTCGGAATTTTGGATTCAGGTGCCACCAAGACAGTTATAGGCAGCCACCTAGTGTCTGATTTGCTGCAGAACCTGCATCCGAGTGTCCGTCAGAATGTTCGCCGATGTCGCTGCGAAGTGACTTTCCGGTTCGGGAACCAGGGAACGCTGGATAGCCAATTTGCCATGGTCATCCCAATTGGTCGATTAGGTTTAAAAATCGCCATTGTCCCTGGAGGAACACCACTGCTTTTATCGAACACCCTGCTCCGAACGTTGAAAGCCACTGTAGATATTGCCAATCAGCAGATGCACAGTCCTTTCCTGAAAGTGCCAATTCATTTGACCCTCAACAATCGTGGTTTGTTTCTTGACCTGAATGAGATTTCACTCAATGCCAGGAAGGAAATTCCGACTGCTGACACGTTTGTGCAGGAAACGCCAGAGACTTCGAAACAGCCGAAGACAAAGTGCAGCCCAATCATGTCAGAGAGTGACCCAACAGGTTTTCGCAGTGAAAAGGGTAGAACCAAAATCTCAGATACCAACAGTTTCAATGAAGAATCACTTGAAATTTCTCATGATGAAGATTCCATTCCACTTGAACGTGCAGTTACAAACAACACCAATCAATCCACCAGTGATGACACCATTGATGAATCCACATACCATGACCATAATGTACATACCACGAATCTCCAATACACGTTTTCAGTTCAGGAACCAACACACGCCAATCCAAAGCCTGGGACCAAGAAGGTAGTCGCAAGTGAGCAGCGTGAATCCGACCACCCTGCCAACCATGAGCCTGGCCGACCGCCTGAGCCGAGTGTGCACGCCAGCGGAGACTGGCGAAAGCCTAGATGCCTTCAAGACGCTGCCATTGGAACAGATGGATGCCACACCCATCAGTTTTGGCAAAGCCCACTTGGGCAAGACGTATCGCCAAGTGTGGGATCAAGAAATCCGTTGGGTACAATGGTTTGTCCGCACCTTCGAGGGCTCGGGAAAACTGGAGCACCAGAAGCTCATTCACTATGTGACGATGATGGTAGAACGTGTGGAACTGGAGACGGAATCAGAGTTCCGCCAACTCCCACAGCCAAAGGTGAAAGCCAAGGCCAAGAGCATGCCAGCTCACACAGTGCCGATCGACCCCGAAGCAGAGGAAGAGGAGGAAGCATGGCTTCAAGCCGAGATGGAGTCTATGCCCACCTACATGCCCGAGAATGTCAACACCGAGAACATTCATGCACTGCAGCATCGAATGAGCGGAGTAGAGAATGCAGTGGGGGAGATCCTGAACCTTCTGCGATCCCAGAACTGAGTGCTGAACACTGGGCTCAGGGCATGTGCCAAGCAGGTGACATAGATGCTGAAGAAACATGTTTTCAGGCTAGTGACATGTCATGCTTACAGAAAAGAATGAACCAGTTGATCCAACAGTTTTCCGAAGAACTTCAGCATGTTGCCAGCGAATGCCAACCAATTCCAGGTGCCAAGCTGAATGTCCTAGAAGTGTTCTGTAGTTCCGGCAGTGAACTCACCCGCCAGACTGGCCAGTTGGGACACCGTGCTCAGAGGTTTGGATATGATCAAGGGGACTTAGCCACTGTTGAAGGTCGCAGATCCTTATTTCAACTTCTGATTCAAAAACAGCCAGACAATGTATGGATCAGTCCCACCTGTGGTCCTTGGTCAAGCTGGAATCAGTTGAATGCTTCAAAATCCGTGGAGAGCTTCGATGCCATCCATGCTCAGCGAGTGCAAAACCTTTTTCAATTGGCATTAGGTATAGTGCTTTTGCGCCATCAGTGGTCCAGTCGCCGACACCTCCATTGGGAGCAGCCAAGGAGATCCTTGATGTTCAAGTCACCATTACTGAAAGAATTGTTTGAGAAAACATACAGTGCCACTTTTGACATGTGCAAGGTTGGACAGTTGCGAGACCCCGAAAACAACAAGATGATTCAGAAGGGCCTGGAAGTCAGAACCACATCATGGGAAGTGTTCTCACAACTCCATGGAAGGTATTGCAATCATAGCCATGAACATCAAGTTTTAGAGGGAACCACAGTATACAAAGGGGTACGCATGAATCGCACAGAATTCTCAGAACTGTACCCACGAAAGTTTGCACGAATGTTGGCCAAGGTTTTAGTCAGCTTTTCCAATCGCAGACAAGAACCCAAGGATTTCACCCTTTGGAATGAGATCCTGACAGCTGTCGGGAAGCGACCGAAGAAGACCTCAGTTGAGCCAAGCGCCAAACGTCCCAAGGTGATCACCGCACAACTGATTGAGCCAGACAACCTGCCTCAGAAACGCCGCCGTGTAGGAGACAAAGGGCCTGAGACCAAAATGACACCTGAACTCCAAGAAATCATGGATGCCATCAAGAAAATGCTACCGAGAGTCGGTAAAAAGGAGATTTTGGATCAACAAATCATCACGAAGATACAAAACGTATTTGATGATAAGAAAATCATGCATGTAGTGGGGTGCAAGGGAACTGAAAGAACACTACCACCACCAAAGGAAATGGTTGAAGGAGAAGCACCATATAGAAGAGCTATCGTACTTGAAAGGGAATCCCAAAGAATCCTTGTGGAAGACCAATGGGAAGAATGGGAGCAGTTAGCACAAAGAAAGCTTGTACGTAGCCTGATTCCGAGCTCAGTGAATATAACGGTGTTCGCCTGCAATCATCCGAGTGCACCCACAGGTCTGCCCGAGAGTGTAATTCAGATGCCTGCAGAACCACAATCCAGTGTCCCGGATGGACAATTGAATGAAACTGGTCCTGCAGGAGCAGCTCCTTCTGATGCCATAGGTCATCAGAAACCAGCCATGAGTGATGCCACACTCAAGACGAGTATACTCCCTGAGACACAATCAAAGCCTGTAATCCCAGATGTTTTGCCAACCAACACTCCCGACAGAAATGTCATGATTGATGCGCAATCTCTACAACATGGCTCACGGTTCTTGACGCTACCAGCGCATGAGAAACAACATCTCCTTCGGATTCACAAGAATTTTGGACATCCCTCTCCTCAAGTGTTGTCACAGGTTCTTCGAAGACAAGGGTACCCCAGCCATCTAACACAAGCCTTGGAAGACATGAAGTGTTCGGTTTGTGTTCAACATCAACACCCAAAAATACAACGACCTGCCACCATCAAGGCAGAATTGGATTTTGGCGATAAGGTCTCAGTCGATGGAGTGTCATGGACAAGTAAGACAGGAACCAGCTTTCATTTTTACCATTTCCTTGACCATGGAACCAACTACCACACTGCCACAATTGCCCCAAATCGTACCACCGAAAAAGCCATTGAAAAACTGACAGTTGGATGGCTCACATGGGCTGGCCCACCAAATGAAATGATGGCAGACTCAGCAACTGAGTTCAATTGCGAACAGTTTGCGAACTTCCTGCAGCAGCTAAATGTAAAGTGCACAATCATTCCGCCAGGAGCACATTGGCAGATGGGAAGAACGGAAAGACATGGGGACATCCTCCAGAAAATGCTCAGTAAATATGAAGAAGATCACCCAGTGAACTCCTATGCCGATTTGCAAAAGGCCTTAATGATGTGTACCGCTGCAAAGAATGCGTGTAGCCTCAGGCACGGGTTTTCTCCGGAAATGCTAGTGTTCGGAAAGGGTTTGAAGGTTCCAGGTTCACTGACTAGCGACGACAGTCTACCTGCACACAGCCTTGCAAATGAAGAAAACGCACAGGGAATCCAGTTCCGATCTCAACTAGCAATGAGAGAAAGTGCCCGTAAAGCCTTCCACGATGCTGACAACAGCGCTGCACTTCGCAGGGCTGCTTTGCGAAGAGAACGTCCAGACCGGGGATCATACGAACCAGGAGAATGGATAATGTATTGGAAGTCATCCGAAACATCCAAAGCCTGGCATGGGCCGGCAAAGGTGATTCAACAGGATGGTAGACATTCCATTTTCTGCTTGCACATGGGAAACATGGTTCGTGTTGCCCCTGAACATGTTCGTCCAGTCAGCGCAGTAGAGGCCCAGCAGATTTCCGAACTGGTTCCGCCGACTCAGGAACAGCAGAGCCATATGCAGAGACTCATCACACAGGCCACTCAGGAAATCACCATTCCACCAAGTGAAATCAGACATAACCTCACTAGATCACCAGCAAATCCCAATAATAACCCTCATGAACGCAGTCGTAACCCAATAATTAACACAAATAATATCCCTGAACAAGAAATCCAACAGGATGGTCCTTCAAACACAACACCACTGAGTGACTCAAGCATCCAGCCAGATCAAGAACCCGAGATGGAACATCCAATGGTAGCACCCACAGAGTCCGAAATGCAACAAGCAATTGAAACACCGGTTCCTGACGTCGATGATGAACTGGTATGTGATTTGCTGCTGAGTGAAGACATTGACCCTCCATGTGTACAAAGTTCTGGAGCCCATTTGGCATGGCGTTTTGAGTTCCAAGTTCCTCAAGAGTTTGAAAGTGGACACCCAGTTCCGATCGAGGACATCATCATGTTGGCTACGAATCAGAAAAAGTCAAGAACTGAGGTCAAACTAAGTGAACTCACCAATGAGGAACGAGCTGAATTTGAACGTGCCAAATCTACAGAGGTCAACAATTGGCTTCAGACCGGTACCGTGTGCAAAGTGCTGCGAGAGAGCCTCTCCCCAGAGCAGATCCTTAGGTGCAGATGGATCCATGTGTGGAAACCCATCGAAGACCCAGCCGAACAGAAGCGCCTTGGCAAGAACCGCAAGGCAAAGTCTAGGTTAGTGGTCCTAGGGTATCTAGATCCAGAACTAGAAACAATACCTAGGGATAGTCCCACTCTGAATAGGCAATCCAGAATGTTGATCCTGCAGACCATTGCATCACTTCAATGGAAGTTAATGTCATTCGACATAAAGGCAGCTTTTCTCCAAGGAAAGACGCAAGAAAACCGAACCATTGGACTCGAACCCGTACCTGAACTTGTAAAGGCCATGGGACTTCAAAAGAATGAGGTATGCAAATTGGAAAAGTCAGCCTATGGGCTTATCGATGCGCCATATTTATGGTACAAAGAACTTGATAAGACCCTCAAAGAACTTTCCTTCAGACCTTCACCATTTGACCCATGTGTTTACTTGTTATACAAACCTGGTGCCTCAAAGCCCTCAGGGATTCTCGGCATGCATGTGGACGATGGACTGTGCGGAGGCGATAAGTTTTTCGAAGAACAGATCAGCAAATTAGAAGCAAAGTTTCCTTTTGGAGCCAAGAAATCACAATCATTTACTTTCACTGGAATCGAGATGCAACAATTACCCAACCATAACATCATCCTTTCCCAAGAGAAATACATCACTAAAATTGAACCGGTACACATTGAACCCAAAAGGAAAACTCAAGAGGATTTGCCGGTGACAGATGCCGAAAAACTCAGCCTCCGAGCCATCATTGGCTCCCTGCAGTATGCCGCTGTGAACACTCGCCCGGATCTTGCCAGCAGATTGAGCCATTTGCAGAGTGCCATAAATTCAGCAAAGATATCAACACTCATTGAAGCCAACAAAGTACTCCATGAAGCCAAAAGACATAAAGACACAACCATCAAAATCCAATCCATACCATTTGAACAAGTTCGTTTTATCGCATTCTCTGATGCCTCATTCTCATCAGCCAAACAGCCGGACTCACACACTGGCATGATGATCATGGCAACACATGCTGATATAGCCAAGAACTTCCAATGTCCAGTGAGTCCAATCAGCTGGTGCTGTAAAAAGATTCAAAAGGTTGTAGTAAGCACACTTTCTGCGGAGACCATGTCGATGAATTCTACTCTTGATCAGTTGTCATGGATCAGACTGTTTTGGGGTTGGATTCAAAATCCTCAGATTCAATGGAAACGAGCCAAAGAAACTCTCAATGAACTACCACCAACGTATAGGAATGGTATGGGAAACCATCCTCTCAGAATTCCCAGACGTTGGTGGCAAAACCTCTCAGAATTCCCAGACGTTGGTGGCAAAACCGTACTAGCAGCCATTGCTCTACCACCATCGCTGCTGACGGCACACAACTTATCTCAGCTGAGAGAGATCCACCTCATTCACCATGCAGATGACAGGCTTTGCGTATGGAACCCGTCGAACCATGACATTAAACTGCTTAGGCAACGGGGCTTTGCAATCACGCATATCACCGGATGGAGAGCGTACCTCGGCACTGCACAACACAACTACTCGCACTGGACACGAGTTGCCCTCCCAGAGGGACGACCAGATATGGCGCAGTTAGAAGGTACCCCTGGAGTGCTCCCCTTTGAAGTTTACTCACAGGCTCCCCTCCGTCTGATCTCATGGTGCAGCTTCGAGCTCCCCAGAACAGCCAAAAAACTCCTGCGCGAATTAGCTGAAATGTGCGAGCTACCTGAAACCACGACACAAGCACTTGTCACCCACATTGCTGTTCACAACTCAGAGGTCAAAACGGAGCAGGAGGCAACCCAATACTTAGCCACGTTGGCAACCGTCACCATCTCGTCAAGGACCAAATTGCTCAACTACACCACCATGGTTCAACATTTCCTTGGCACCTTACAATTGCCCATGGCTGTCTACATGTTAGACTACTACTTGCCCATGCTCAGCCCCAATGAAGGCTATAATGAAACAGGGTTAACAATGCAAAGTGCAGGACCTATCCGTCAACCATGGCAACCCATCGCTTTCGAATTCCTCTTTAAAGGCAGCGAGTTTGGACACTGGAAAGTCAAAGGCGGACAAGATGCATTTGCGTTCCGACATCCAAGCCTGGGCAAAACTGAAGTGTTCAGCCTCCTAGCCAGTGATGCGCACCATCACAAAGTCAGCCCCATCGGCACGGGTAGGCTTATCGCAATGGTAGGTACCTCAGAGGCTCCAGCTGACGACGGAGAAGACCTTCAAATCCTGTTTGGGTTGGTCCTAGCCATCACGCCGCGCGCATCCAAAAGCAAGGATGAGCTGGCTGCCTCCCGTATATACAGACAGTGCAACCCCAGATTCATCGAAGTAGCCTTCCTCTCAGGGCCAGCCATTGAATTTTTTGCAAAGGAACAGCTTGAAACCCTCCAAAACTGGTATAGTGCCTCCGGCCAGCACCTGGACCCCATTGATGCGACCGTTCAGGGACAGAAAAGCCCGGTCCCAGGGACCTTCTTTCTACATACAATGTGGATGTTCGGATGTACCAAGCCCACCCGAGAGGTTACCGCTGTCGCACAAACCCCCCCGTGCAGATACCACCTGGGATTAGGCATCTACAATGTCCAAACGGCAGTTGAAGGAATGGAGGGCAACAAAAAATCACATTTCTTGCATTTGTGCGGCCAGTTGCTACGTCTAGTGCTAATTCCATGTCACATAGAGGGTGAGCTTCACCCCTGGACCCGCTCCACTGCACTATCCTTTGCCGCTGAGCTTGACGGACATGTCTTGGGCACACTCTGTGCAGATACAGCTCCTACAATCAAAGAACCACCAGATCTAGCGATCACTGATTGCAAATCCCTTTACGACATCATCACCCGTACTGCACCTCCAAATTGCCAAGAGTATCGCACTCAACTGCAATGCCGTGCAATGAAAGACCTATTAAGTGAAGGAGTTTCGGTACGTTGGGTACACACAGGTGCACAAGTTGCTGACGCTTTAACTAAAGTGATGAACACCGCCTTCTTGAGACACACGCTATCCCAGGGAACTTATCGTCTGAACGACGAACAAGAGATCTTGCGAGAACGGGCAAATTCACGCAGTCGAGTCCAGTGGCTACAACAAAATTCTCTTGAACAAAAGAACTAATTATTGAAGTTTTGGGAGTGTGAATGTTCAAGTATTCCATCAGCTTCACTACAAATCACACGGTCTCCTAAGGTTCACAAGCCGGTAACAACCATTTCCTTTGTAGTCCTTTCGGCTGTGGTCAGCCTTGGGTGGAGCAGGGTGGGACGTGGACTTTTGCCATAACGCGTCGTGGCCGACGACACATAGAAATTTGGATCGGAACATCAGTTGTTCCTGGGCAAAGCTTGTGGTGCAAAAAGGAATCTATCGGGCGCGGCAGCCCTCAGGTGAGTTTGGGAAACATCACTGCAGATACCGCTACCAATTGTGGGGTCACTCACAATATATATATATATTTATATGTATATATATATATATTTATATACTATATACTTTTTTTTCCGTGGATTAAGCTCCGATTTTCAGGGTCTTCTTGCTCTGTCAACTCAAGTTATGCATTGCCGGGATTCTTCTTCTCTGGCGCCCAGGCTTCAAAGAGCTCGCGGCTGGCACCGCTCTGCAACATGCCTGCGGAGTATCCCAGTTGTCTGTCTGTGGTACGAGTGACTATAGGTGGTGAATAGAAGGGGGTGATGAGGGTTTGAAGTTTTTTGATACAATGGAATTCCTTCTTTAGTAGTTATCGTCAATAGCTAATGACCGCCAACTCATCACATTGATATAAGATAGATATTGGTGGTTACTATGACCCAGAAAGAAAGACATCATCAGGCAATGATAACTGTGGATATTGCGCTGGTTTAAAACTGTGGTTGATTGGAAGAAAAAGTGTGGTGAACTGCAATAATGATGCTTTATTCAAAAGTTGTTGCAAGTTTATATTGACTTGTCTTGTTTATGTTCCTGATGTCTTCTTAGAAAGTTTCATGCGATAATCAACCCATGAGGCTTCATGTTCATAACCGTACCTAGTAAATCCATTCGTCAACAGCTCGCCGAATGGATTTTACATCCGTCGTGGCTTCAAGGATGCCTGCGTGCTCCGGGGTGTAGCTTGCATCCCTGTACTTGACCTTCACTTGCTTGATTAGCATAAGAAACTCCTACGCCCAATCCTAGTCGCTTCCTTCGAAGCCCTGAAGATTGCCATATGATCCAGCATTCCGTGCCAGTGATCTGTCGAGCACGCAATTCGGCAGAGCTCAAGTAGCACGTTCGAATGGGTTTTGCAATGTCAAGATGGTTGATGCAAAAAAGACCTCTGGCAATCAGTCATGGCAACAGAAGATTCCTATTAAATTAATTATCCCATTCATAGATGAGCTTCAAAATCATTCCCTAACATTCCCTAACAGGTATTTTGCGTGCTGAAAAATCTCCAAGTCACATAGCAAGAGCTTCAATTTATCTGGGTCTCATATCTGGACAGAATCCCAATAAAACCATGGCTGGGGGCAAAAATCCAATTTTTACCTCAAGCCTTGGAAACCTGGAAACCTCATGGTGCTGGTTGGTGGTTTCAACCCCTCTGAAAAATATTAGTCAATGGGAAGGATTATCCCATATATTATGGACAATAAAAAATGTTCCAAACCACCAACCAGTGGTGTGTTCATGAAAGTTTTAGCACTATGGCTGTTCTAAGTCACCATTTGAGTAGTTTCATTGCCTGATGCTTGAGACTTGGATGCTATGTGATGAGTTTTTTGGGCGGAATTCCCACACCAAACATAAGTTGCTTTTCCTTCAACACATAATTATATACCCTCTGGTTATGTCAAATAGCTATGGAAAGATCCACCCATTTTTAATAGGTAAATCACCATGTTTAATGGAAAATCACCAGTCTTAATAGGTAAATCAACTACAAATGGTCATTTTCCATAGCCATTTTGACATAACCAGAGTCTAATTCCAGGGTGGACATTACAGGATCATTTTTTGCGCAGGAAGCACCTGTTTTGTTCGACAAAAGGAACAAGCGAAATGACAACACCAATAGAACAAACATATGACATGCATAAAATCATATATTAAATCCTACTATAAAAATTAGATATCATCTGGTGTAATAATGTAATAATAACGTAGTAATAACGTAGTGATAATGTAGTAATAATTTAGTTAAACCATGCAAAACAACATAGCAACAGGATCCACATCCTCACCTGGAGCCGCTAGTACTACGCAGGCACCAATCTCCGACTCCAGCTGGGCGAAGGTATGCCTGGCAGCCGGCCAGGTCAGGTCGATGCTGAAACGTTAAGGAAGACCTGCCGAAAAGTACACAAACATGTTGTTTACAGATCGAAGAGTTCACAAACAACTGAGAATTTGAGACGGAAACTATGATTCCATGATAGAATTTGATACAGAATCTAAATATAATCGAAGTAACATCCTGGAAACACACTGCGACATCGTTTTGGGAGATGAGAACGTCAACTTCATCTCAAGGGTTGCAATCGGATATGAAATATTCATATAACATTTCTCCTCCAAAATGCTTTGAAACTATAGACATAAATCATCATAAATCATCATAAATCCATGAAGCGATGCGTTGGCACCTGTCAGGCATGTTCTGGATGTACTTCAGAATCCAGGGATTGTTACATCGATTTGCCTGGCGTGCGGCAGACGAAGTCGGCTTCATGGATCGAGTAGTTTGCTATTATACGATAGAGTTGGCTTGAACGGGCTATACTCCAGTTGCTATTTATTATAGCACATTGGGATATAGCCAACCTACCCACATTATTATAGCATCAAATTATAATTATTATAGCACATTGGTTGGATCACGCCCGCAACTTACCCAACCGCTTCTTTCTAGCCCCGAACACATTGGGGTGCAACCAGGTCAGCAACCAGTTACCCAGCTGGCGAAAGTTCCCCTTATCTCAATGATCTGTCTCGTTGTATCTTTTAAACCAACACTGGCAGGTTATATCGTCATGTATCGTCATGTATCCGGAGTTCGACAGTGTCAATTGCGCCAATGTCATACATCAATGCCCTCATTTACCCAAAGCATCCCAAAGAACCCCACCTGCTACAGTACCTACGAACAAGGTTTGGTTGGAAGTTAGTGTCCAAATTCTAGGTGTTTTCATGGGCGTTTCTTGGATATTTAACGCATGCAAGCTATATTAATAAACTGGAGATGTAAGACTCACAGATGCTCACCGCATTTTGTTCTTTTGGGCGTTTTGAGGATACCATGTCATTGGTCACATGGCGACATGCACAAGAACACACACAAGATTAGGTTGGTGGTTTCAACCCCTCTGAAAAAATATTAGTCAGTTGGGATGATTATTCCCAATATATGGAAAATAAAACATGTTCCAAACCACCAACCAGATAACAATGGGCATTTACGTAACTATAGGCACTCAAACCATCTTCAGAATCCAGCCCTTCAACACCAGTCGTGTAGGTCCCAGAACCCCCCGCAACCTGTTCTTGCACTGAAACGCTGCACATGTTGGTGTAGGTCCTCGGCGCCACGGCGACTGCTTAGTGACTTTGGACGGCAATCTTCTCTGGAAAGTTGACACAGCTAAGGTACCCGGCCTGGTAAACGTTTACATAACGAAGTGGAAAGATCCACCATGTTTCATGGGAAAAATCCACTATTTCTATGGTCATTTTCCAGTTCGCTATGTAACAAATTACCAGAGGGTATGCTATAGATTGCTATAAAATATAATCCATTTGCACATGATTTAAGCTGAAAAACGTTCAACATTGAAATATTCAATGGCAAACTGTTAGCTTACTGGACCAAATGGTATCTCATTATCGTGATCATTGGGAAGTTTCCTCATCTTTCCCGTCCTTAATGTGGTAAACCCAATGCCGTAAACTATCCCACTCACCCACCATGACTGGGCGGCCTTTTACATCATCCGAAATAGATCGAAAAAGGGCTATACCCAATGTCATAAACCACTTTTTGAAGTTTATCATAGTTAATAACTTGTCATCATCCCATATTCAATACCCTCTGGTAAACTAACATAGCGAACTGGAAAATCACCATTTGGAATAGCTAAATCAACTATTTCTAGAGCCATGGCTTCCAGTTCGCAAACTGTTAGTCATTCCCAGGCCGGGTAAATCCCATGAAATATCCCATTGAATCACTATAGATCCCATTAAAAATCACTATAAATCACTATAAATCACTATAAATCACTATAAATCCCTTAAACAAATCCTATATGAATCCCACATGGCTTCACCATGGGCTTCACCCTGGGCATCCCCATGAGGGCATCCCGGCTCGAAGATCCGGAGGCACTTGGTCGCCTCAGACTCCGCTGGGCCGGACCGGACTGGCTGTTGAGCTAGTCCCAAGATGAGGAAAAAAATATACTGTACTATATCTATCATATTATACATAGATACACATATCATATGATGTAATATGATGTAATATGATGTAATATAATGTAATATGATATAATATGTAAATGTATAGATCAATAATGCAAGTCTATATCACAACTCATAAAATAGGGCGATGTATGAGTGTATAAGTTTGCGGATATTTCATGAATTTACGGTATATCATCATAGCTACATGAATTGGTGAACATACTGATGACATATATTGAATAACATTGGATATAGGGACACATAGAGCTACCTACCTCATAATTGTAGCGGTCGATACTGAACAATAAATAGCCCAACTAGGGCAACACGATCTCGAGCTGACGCCGGGATTGCCTCCTGCTTAACCGTGCGGATCCAAAATCTTGGCTTAAATGGATGTGAATGACACTCGAAGATCGCATTTTTTCCATAAATTGAATGGTTCAACTGGATCTTCCTTATGACATCTGATGAACCAAAAAAAACAGGTTTTGGACACCAAGCGTGTCACCAACATCCAGGGATCCTGAGGCACCCAGCCATGGGCGAGTTGTAGAAGATGGGAATCTCGTGCAAGTCCGAGTTGCGTTCCTTGGGCCATTGGGGAAGGGTTGTGACTTGTGAAACTGGGACTGATAAAGTGTGCAACTTTTTGCAACTGAATGTCATTTAATGTCATTTATAACTGGTTGCTGGTTGGTGGCTGCTGTTAGGATAGGGACAAAAATGGCCACAGCTGGTGCCACGTTGACCTACCCCTCTGACAAATATTAGTCCATTGGGATGATTATACCGTATATACATATTTATACCGTATACCATTTTATACCTCTATTTTGGGTTTCATGTATAGGCAAAGTTGCTTTGACGGCAAAATAAACACAGCAATCTCATGACTTTTCAGATTGGTGGGGGCCCTTGGTAGTGAGCGATCAGCTGCGCCCGCTGACGCCTGCCAAGATTCTTGCTAGCAAGTTAAACTGTGAAAAGTAATTAGTTGGTATAAAATGACCATTCTGTGCAGGACACAAATTGGATATAATCTGATATGGTTGGTATATGTTGGTATAGTAGTATAATGTGGAGAAAAACAATAGCTACGAGTTTTTATAAACCCGTTGATACTTGGGGTATTACATAATATTAAAAAAAACATATACAGTATGTTCTGTATGACTTTTGGGGATTATATAACTTGCTGTTGAACAAACCACATCAACCATATTCTATATGGGTTTCTGTGAAAATCGGGTACTGCCTAAATCCATCTAAATCCCATGGTCTATCATCATGTTGTCTTTTAGATTGACATTTGGGGGATATACAGTACTTATATAGCAAATTTTCAGACACACCCACTATATGATCTGTTTGGTGGTATACCTACCCCTCTGAAAAATGATGGCGTTCGTCGGGATGATAACATTCCCAAATGGAAAGTCATAATCCAGCCATGTTCCAAACCACCAACCAGTGTATAGATCTATTATATAAGTCCATATTAAGATATATTAAGTCCCATTAACCCATATTAAGTCCCATATTAAGTCCTGTTCCAGTCACCACCAACCAGTGATTTCCGGACGCCTGTTGATCTCAGCTCCGGACCCAATAGTCCTCCAAGATCAACAGGATCTCCTGAGGATCACCCAGATGCGCCGAGCAAAAATCATGGCTGTTGAAACTGTTGAACTCCCTCTGGTTAATGATGATGAATGGTTAATAATGGTTATAAAATCATGATTAATGATGGTTAATGGTGGTTTGGCCATCAATCATGTGGTGAAACTATCAACACTGTGGATTTGAATGGATTTGATATCTATATATCTGAGGATGAGCGATCGTCGAAACGGGAGTTTGATCGAACTTAGTGGTGACTCGTGACCCAAAAGGAAGGCAATTGTTGCTACAAGCATTAGCCGTTTTTTGAAATATTGTAGTCATCTTTACTTGCAAGTGAACATATAGGAACGGGATATGATAAGCTGTCAACAGGATCCGATGATGATCAATGAAGACTTTCCTGGAACGAGAAACGTCAGATGAAATGCTTCAACATAGACATGTTTCTGGCATGAAATCAGGTGAGACGTCTAAACAATCTGGAGAACATCTCTTGAAGCTCCAATGTGTTGCCCATGTTGACCCGGGGTTGTCTCAGAACTTGGTATCTCCAAAAAGGTGCATGATTCATGATCGGGTTCCTCACTGGAAAACATATATGCGGTATTCCCCTGAGTTTGAGACAAAGCAATAAAACATCTTGTGGGAATCTTGTTGGTATATATGTTATATACTGCTAGTAGTATTCTTATCCCATTCTGCCAGTAGTATTCTTGTCCCATTCTTATCAAGTTGCATCCCCATAAAATGGCCCCTCCTGCGCTCGGCCAAGGGCAAAGACGGGCAAGAGGCACCTCAGCTCAGCCAGGGCAGGGCAGCCAAAACCTGAAAAAAAACATGAGATGTATGAGATACATGGGATATAGATGTGTGCAGAGCCAAAATGGGGTGTGTATATATATATATAATATTGTATATATTATTTTTGTGATCATGTTTATTTAAAAAAAACATTGGAATACTTTGGACCAGTGTGCGTATGATTACATTTGGAGGATGGGCAATGGTCCACCTGGGCCCAGACTGGCCAACCTTGACACTAGCCTCACAAGCTACTGCCAAATAATTCAAACAACCTACCCTCTGGTTCTTTAACTATGAAAAATGGTCCATTTATAGATGATGAACATGATTTACCGACAAAAAACTCGTGATTTTCCAGTTCACAAAGCGTGAAAAACAACGGCGCCTCGTGCCATAGGATCCAGGCCGGTTCCAGGCCGCTGGACAGCTGATCTTCTCTTGGAACAATCTCTGGTTGGTGGTTGACTTACCCCTCTGACAAATATGAAAGTCAAATGGGATGATTATTCCCAATATATGGTTAACAATGTGGTTAATATATGGTTAATATAATCTATATATAGATATCTGGCTGGTGGTTTTAACCATCTTGAAAACTATGAAAATCAATGGGAATAATTTTCCCATATGAAATGGAGAAAAAAACATGTTTGAAACCAACCAGATATACATCAATCATAAAAAACAATCAGACTTTTCTCGACTCAACCGGTAAAGCACCCCATCTTCACATCGCTTTCTGTTACCCTCTGGCAACGACTAACATAACTATGGAAAATCACCATAGAAATAGTGAATTTTCCCATGAAAAATGGTGGATTTTTCCATAGTTATGTAAACGTTTACCAGAGGGTACATCACCCCTGGCCCCCGCGCCAGTCACCACGACCCGACCTTGGGCGGCCGCACTTGCCGCCCTGCCGCACGATCTGATGTACCGAGTTGGTGAAGCGCTGCTCCCGCTGCTCCTTGGGCTGGGGCGTTTTCCGGTTGATTCATACCCTCTTGGTAAACATACAAAAAGCATCAGAAAGCTATTGAAAATGGTGATTTATAGTGGATTTACCCATTAAACATGGTGATTTTCCATATTTATGTTAGTTTACCAGAGGGTATCTCCCAGTCTGAGATATGACATATTCCAATATCAAAAAAATGAAGATATATTGATGTTTGAAAGTGCAACAAGTGAGTTATATCCAACATTAATTACCTAGTGATATGTCTTAATTGCGAGAATTTTGTGACATCCTAATTTTCAGACTTTGAAAGACATTTTAATGTCTCAGCTGCCACCATCGCAAGCCTGGAACCATCCCTCCAAACACCAAGAAACTTCCGGAATCGCGCCCAGTAGATACCCCGTAAGCACCGTTTTGAATCTCCAGATATTGTTCAACCGTATATCCGTATATCTACAGTGAATATGAAGATCCTGGACCAACAAACACAAATATGTTGCATCATGCCCCGAAACGGGCCGGCAAAAGGATTGAACAAAAACAACGAAAATGGTAGGTTCCCAGCCAGAAAAAACATGTCTGTTTGTAATTGTTCGAAGTTTTCCATTGGGGACACCTGTAATCCTAGCTGTCCCAGCACCCAAGTCCAAGCATCTCTAGGCTCGTGATTCATCACACCGTAGGTGGACCTGGGTCATTGTCTCATCCCAGTGCCAGACACATCCAAGAAGATACAGCATTCTTCGGCACGCTTCTTGTTGGCAGGTTGCGCAATATTCATTGGTTCAATCCCCATGACGTCATAATTTGTTGGGATCCAAAACAGAACTGATTCAAAGTCAGATCTGGATTTCAAAAGTGTTTCAAGTGTCAATCCTCCCTTTCTTTTGATCCTGTCATCCTGCCTCCAAGTCTAATCTTTGGGATCTAACGAAACTCAACCCCCCCATGCTTTCTTTCAGCAAAACACACCCGCGGCCCCGGCTCCACAATGAGTACGTGGATGCGGACGTTGGGGATCTCTGCCTTGCTTGCGCTGGATGTGCATCCCAGCTGTGGCTAGTCTCCTTTTTGTACAAGCCGTGTCATATATGGATTATCCGCTGTTCTATCTTGGTTATACTGATGTATATATATATATAAACTATGGTTAATCTATGGTTAATCTATGGTTAATCTATGTATGAATTATACCCATAGGATCCATGGTGCTGGTATATATGCTAACAACATTGTGCTTTTGTTGATGGGATCCATGTTACCATATATAGCAGCACCATGGATCCGTCATGGGATATATGAATATGTGTCTATATGATTCTATATGTACTTACATACAGTATATATATATATGGTCGTATATGGTTCTCAAGCAATTGGTACCTGGAATGCACATCCGAGTAGTCACAAGCCGTTAAACGAATCTTGGTTTCATGGTTTCACTGGGTGATCCAAGACCAGGGAATCCACATAAATTTCTCCAATTTGAATACCAAACAGTTTTTTTCCCTTGGGGAATCCCAATTTTGATCAGTACATATAACCAAACATACATTACTTAAGCAGACTGGAAAGTGAATTGATGGAATTGTGAAACAACAAGCATCGCAACAATAGGGATGTTTCACTATTATACTGTACATTGGCTATCCACATTCACATCTGGAATACCCCAATCATGACCATCATTGCGTGCTCTTAGGGAACAACAGATCTCCACTTGAGCCGCTTGTATAGTCCCATCAACAATTTCCTTCAATCTCTTGTAAAATCAGGATACAGAAACATAAAGAAACGCCTCCTGCGTGCTCAATGAAACTTTCTATTACCGGTAAATTAACAGTTCGACCCTGAAAATAACCAATTTTTCATGGAAACTCATCTTCCAACCCCTATCTGGCAGGACCAGTCTCCCGCTGCCTGCGGCAAATGACGATCTTCTTCACGGCTGTAGTCCCCGGTGTACAAGACCCGGATGCCTGGCCAGTTGACAACTGGCCCAGATGGCACCCAATAGGTCTGTGTTTAGTGTTTACAGGGTACCATGACATCCCAATATCACCCTGACATGATCATAGGATCATTGTTCCTAAGGCAAAAAAGAACATGATGACGATATAGTTCTGTAGTCTAGGAGCCCGACATGTCTTGACTCAGTTGGAGTTGGTCATACTAGTCATATGGAAATCACCATTCATTGCCTGCAGTGTTTTGACACTCCTAGCTTAAGTCATTCAGTATCTAGGCCCTGGAATTGGATTTGAAAAGTGGATCATCTAATTCTTCATATCTCTCCATTTCCAAAAGCCCCCGACTGCCATGGAAAGACATCACATCAACTTCCAGGCCATTTCATGGCGCCGACTGCCAAGAAAGGCACCTCCGATGTTGATCATGAACATCGCAGCGCCAAGCACCTGAGCGACGGTGATGCCGAGGCAGGGCATGTTGCAATTTTTGTTGGCTTCAAAAGTCATGGTGGTACCCCCAAATCATCCAAGTCATGGATGACCATTTTAGTATTGAAACCCATAGTTTTGGGATCCCCCTATTTCAGGAAACCCCCATGTGTTTACGTTTATTTCTTAAACTCTTTCGAATTCCCACATGAGTAAAACATGTGGTTTTTTTGCTGGAGGTTGAGGGGTCACAAAAATACATTCTCAGAAATATGGTTTGCTAGTCTAGGGTTCCGAAAACTTCCAGGGATCTAGTTTTGATGGCTAGTTTTGATGGCGTATACGATTGTAGAAGACTTCGTGCACAAGGCCAGGCTTACTGCGTGAGGCTTTGAAATTCCTCCGTGATTGGCAAGTAAATCTTATCGTATGATACCCCCCCTTACTAGTTGCAGCTTGCTATACCAACTATACCCCTCACAGACGGGAACTGGGAGTTCATTGAGGGCACACAGTACTGTCGGTCATTCAACTTCCCACCAGTACCTGGCAAAGACATCCTCCAGAATGGGTCGGCTGCGAGGAGTGCTTGGTAGCGGCGGAAAGCTCACATTCCACAAGTTTTCCTGTTGATCAGAGGTTGCCAGTAGATCGCGTTGTGGCCAAGGTTGATCACTTGCTGGGGGTTGAACTGAAGGAATGGCATGTTCAGCCGTCTGGCTTCGCGTTTGCTCGCATCCATATCAGGCCTTGGATGAAAGTTGTGCAATGGCATCTACTGAGGGTTTCTCTCTGTTCTTTGTGGTTTCTTTCTGGTAATTTACCAGCTATTTCAAACATGTTGTTTTTCAGGATGACCCAGCATGCCAGGTCGCCAGTGGCTAACCCTCCAAATGGCCATCCATTAAAGCCGTTGCTGGTTGGTGGTTGACCTACCCTACCCCTCTGAAAAATGATGGACTTCGTCAGTTGGGATGATGACATTCCCCAATATATGGAAAAATAAAAGACATGTTCCAAACCACCAACCAGGTAAAAGCCGTTGAGATAATTAGAGGGTTTTGCGAGTACCGTCTGGCGTGCTGCATGGCATCCCCACATCGCCTGGAACTAAAAAGGGGGAGTGGGGCCCTTCCAACCTCGAAAAACCCAGAGATTTTTCAGCGAGGAAAAGTTCGGGGATTGGCAAACAAGTTAGATAGTTTACAATAGCTGTGCTAACAAAAAGGTCACGCCGTGGCCAGCGGCCTGTGGACCGCAGGCATGATCAGCATTATCTTATCTTATCTTATCTTATCATCATCATCATCATCGTCGTCGTCGTCGTCATCGTCTGCAAGGGAATTCTAGAGAAACGAAGTTATACATATGAGGATGTTCAAGATAAAGATAATGGTCCTATCGTAACCGGGCAGTCTACATTAACATACATGTCTAGCAAGAACGTTACATCAACGTAGCACAGCGTAGATATGCAAGCGTGCAAGAACGCTAAAGAACGCTGCATCAACGTAGCACAGCGTAGTTCCGCAAGCGGGCAAGAACGTTACATCAACGTAGCACAGCGTAGCTGTGCAAGAGCGCAAGGACGCTAAAGAACGCTACAACAACGTAGCACAGCGTAGCTGTGCAAGAGCGCAAGAACGTTACATCACAGAGTAGATGTGCAAGCGTGCAAGAACGCTAAAGAACGCTACAACAACGTAGCACAGCGTAGATGTGCAAGCGTGCAAGAACGCTACCTCAACGTAGTAGCATGACGTCGCTCAGCAAGCGTACATGAACGTTATTACCCCACCCCACCCCACCCCAACAAGGACAAAAAAAGACAAACCAAACAAAAAAATAGCTTTCACACACAGGCCGCGCGCCACGGCGCCAGCAACAAAAAATTCCTTTCCCATCTGGGGACTTACAAGAATTGGAGCATCATGGGTCATTGACAGTTGAATCTTGTCTTGTACATTCATATTATATATATATATATGTACTATTTCCGTGTTGCTAAACTACAGGTATACACGCACATTTTCATGATTCAAACCACCAACTGCGGCCAGAAATTTGTGCATAAACATCAACTGTGGTGGGTTGCTATAAATGATCAGGGTTATTATCATCAGTCCTTGGGCTATCATCTTTATCATCCCATTCTTCCGTTTCTGCTAAAAACTGAAACCCATCAATCAACCAACACACGCCCAATGTGGGCCCCCCAGTTACAAGTTGGGTTATTAACTCCCATTAAGTATAGTTATTTTCGTATCATAAACCATAGTGATTCGAGTTATAAACTAACTTATAGATCCCATTAAATCCCATCAAATCCCATGGTGTGCCACACGGATGGTTCTCGCAACCTCCGAAATTTTCCCTGGGCTGTCGAAGAACGTGCCCTGCACGGTAGCATGAGAACTTGATGCCGCGGAATTGCCGCTCCTGTGCGTCTACAAAATAGGATCGAGAAATTGCAAATAATAGGATAAGTTGGGATATGGTCATTGGTTCTGTTTTACCAATAATTGGTTATTATAGATAATCATGGTAATTGGTTCGCTACAGTTCTATCCTATTGTTTCTATAAACGGAATAATCATGGTAAACAATCATAACAGGTCCAGACATTGTAGATACCTTGGTAAATTCTACAAAATAGGATCCATTTTTTGAGAGGATCATAAACAAACATCAAATAGACATAAACATAGGATCATTACATAGAAAGGTGTCTAGAATAGGATACAAAATAGGATCTAGCTAGACACCTTGGTAAAGAATCATAAACCAAAAGCAATCAACAATGTCTGATAAACAATCATAAACAAATCTAGAATTGGTTTATCCTCGTAAACCAATGTCCAAAACAATCTACAATGCCTGGAATAAACCACTGACAGAAAATGAGGATAAAATGAGGATTGAGTGCAAAAAAACATTGGTTTCAGTACCTCCAGTCTGTCCCACAACTTCTCATAACACCGACAGAAAAGGGGGCCTGGTTAGATGAGAATGTGAGCGACCTAAAATGGGATTCAACCAATACAAGTGGCACTAAAGTGATCTTTGATGAAGATAACTTGGCAACGGGCCTGGAGAGGTAAGCAAATTGTGAAATCTGGAGAGGATATAACATGATGCAACCAAGTAAACTTGTAACAAAACCACGATACGTGCACATAGGCAATAAACATTGAAATTCCAACCAGACTTGGGAAGTGGGGAAGAATCGTATCTGGGATATAGATGGATATAGCATCCAACAACTTCTAGGGCAAGTCAATGTCCGGCAATGGTCACTGAGCTTACCGGATCAACAAAATTTGGGATGGACTGTGTTGAGGGACAAGTTGCGGGAAATGATGGGATGGGCCGATGGGCCCTTGTCACACATGTTGATACCCAAATTGCAAATGAACTGCGAAGAAATCCAGCATTGCAGGACATGTCATTTTTTACCCACATGTCAAATGGATCACGTATAGGTCAGGCTTCCCTGACCTCCCCATCTTTGCTGAACTCTTGGAGGTGCAGGAAAAAATCAGCGAATATCCGTTTTTGGACGATCCAGCTGGGCAAGTTGCTGGCGCAGGGACCGAGCTGCCCACGAGAAATCTTCAGATCTCACTCGAAAACTGTCGGACGGGATTTGAACATTCCGCTGCATCTTATGTTGGGTTGCAGCAAGAGCGAGACATTCTGATGGCACCTGTTTAACAGTAAGTGCCTGCGATCGGAACAATACTTGCGCGTACTTGTGCAGCAAGTAAACATCTCCGATAATGTTAGTAAAGCAATGTCATACACCACCGATGGATGTTGATGGTTTATACCGGCGGATCCTATTGCTTTACTAACCTTACAATACCAACTTATTCAACATTGATTACCCTCTGGTCATTTAACATAGCCATGGAAAATGGCCCATTTATAGATGGTTTATTTATTAAAAATGGTGATTTTCCATTGCTATGTTAAATAGCCAGATGGTAAAAGGCCCAGTTTGCACACCCAGCACATCAGTCACTCTCCTCGTGGTAATCGAGAAGCTCGATTCGCTCAACGGTCCTGCTCAGAATGCTAAAAGAGCCATCAGCGAATCACTTCCTCTGACAACAAATTCAACAAATACATAAATACCCCGGTATAAAACCTTGGTTCCTTTTGATTCATTTGGGGCTTGCTATTGGGAATATTTTATATCAGGGGGTGTAATATAAGGGAAACGGTATTGCTAACGCAAGTAAAATACCGTCACAATGATGAGGATACTAGACGTGTGAGATGTAGACAACCAGCCTGAGAAAATAACAGTTGAACTTCTAGGGGCACCCAATGACTTTGCCCCGATTCATGTACAGGTGAACCAGGCATGACCATCACACTCCCCTTCCAAAAAATTAGAACATGACATATTTTCAAAGATGTTCACAAACAGGTGTAGAACAACGGCACACTTTGTCATAGTTGGGTTTTGACATGTGTTGACCCATAGCATCGAACCCCACTAGAAGGGAGGGGCAAGTGCTGCAAGTATGTGCATCTGGGAAATGGTCAGGTTTCTTATGTTTTTAGAGACTAGTTCTGGGTTCCTGATACATCATAAATATTCATAAACTATGATCAAACTCACAGTCAAACTCGGGATGTCATCACCACTGTCCTCACTCTATCATCTAGGTCTTCGTTTCAGCTCAACGAGTCATTAGTTAGTCCTAGATTAGAGATTGATTCTGGCTGGTGGTTTCAACCCCTCCGCAAAATATGAGTTCGTCGGTTGGAATTATGAAATTCCCAATATATGGAAAGTCAAAAAAAACATGTTCCAAACCACCAACCAGGATTCCTATTATAGCTGGCATATTCCCAGTAAATACCCATTATTTTAATTTATTTTCCCATCGAATTCCATAGATCTGTGGATTGTTACCACTCAAATCATCTAAAATCACTCTATCCGACTATCCCGTTGAACGATGTCCCGTTGATCACGGTGACCGTTTCGGTGACACACACCTGTTGATGTCTTCGCTGCTGAAGATCTGGTCCTGGACGTCGTTGGGATGTGATTAAACAATACCCATAGGATCCATGGTGCTGGTAGAAAAATGCTAACATAGAGGGGGTATATTGATGGGATCCATGGCACGCACCATGGATCCGTCATGGGGTATAATATGCTAATAAACGTGAACATACAATAAAATACATGTTTCAAAAATGATCATATATGATCATATATGTTGATATTTCACCTTGGACACTTCTCCCTTTGTGGCATTCACCACGTGCAAGTTCTGGGCTTTAACATCTTAGTGGGGATTGATCTGATGAACATTTTCGCTTCAACAAGAATGTTGACCTCCTAGGTGTTCCAGCCGCAAACATATTGCCCTTCACCAGTGGCATATCAACATCAAGGTGGTAAAACAAAAAAACACGTGGTGCCACTCAAGTTATAGGTTGGCTTATTACTTATTACATCTTATTACCCTTATAGCTATCAGTTATATCAGCCAAGTTAGCTAACTTGTGGGCCCCCCCTGCATGGGGACACTCATCGCAGCTTCCTCTGCTGCGATCTTGCTCACCCTGGCATAGTCTTGCCACAACCTCAGCTGGCATGGTAAGCGGAGCCAGATGGTAAGGTGGATGTACCCTCCAGTAAACTGACATGGATATAGACTTTTCAGACATCCACCATGGATTTCCATGGCTAGTATGTTTACTGGAGTGCAAATCCATGGTCTCATTTCACTGGAAACTGTGAGAGCAGTAATCAGTTGACTGGGCTTTTGTTCAGCCATGATACCTGTGGAGAGACATGGCCAACGTAACATATGTTTCTGAAAATAACCCCTAAAACTACGGGATAATTATGGTTAATTATGTTTAATTCTGGTTAATTATGGTGGATTCAAACCATTGTCCACTTTTATTTGGCTGATTTAGTGTTAATCCATGTTAATCCCCTCTAGACCGAGACCTCATTTCAAGCTGATGGTGGTCCCGTGGTCCCGGGCATCTTGCAAATGGGCCGTGTGGGGTGCGTCATAAAGACCTTGCCCTTGAACTCCGTCCGGCTCACGAAGTACCTGGCGGCGGAAACCGGCGTGCCATGGGTGCATCCAAGCGCTATCCGATAGGGGAAATATGGGGGGCAACTATATCAGTTATCAATGGTTCTTAATGGTTATTAATGGTTATTCCTCAGGGAAATGTGGGGGAAACAAAAACATCAAGTCAAGTTCTAAGTAAAGATGGGGATGTACCCTCTGGTTATTTAACATAGCCATGGTATAGATGGCCCATTTATAGATGAATTATTTATTAAACATGGTGATTTTCCATGGCTATGTGAAATAACCAGATGGTAATCTATGTGAATCCAGTTGCATCTATAAACTCGAATCATTTGAAATGGACATAGTGGGTCTTACATAGTGGTGATTGACAATGGAATTTAACTAATCCGATGGTGGAAACTGTGGAAACGGATATGATATAATGAATTGGTATCAGTAGCTGGGGATTCAATCTATTTGTATTGGAATTCGGAATTTCATCAATTTGATGGTGATTTGGGTGGCTTGGAATTGGTTTGTAAAACCCTCGCATTGTTCATACTGATCACTTGTTTCTTGGGGTATTGGAGATGGCCAAATACTGCGATGATCAACTGGGTGAAGAATCAACGGCACTTACATATACTGACTAGTACTACATGATACCAAGTATGTCAAATAATTCTAAATGTATGTGAATCCATGCGGGATATACGCATATATATATATTATATATATATGCTTCAATAAACATATCATGATGTTCTATCGTTTCCATGGCTAAACTTCAAAACTTCTGTACCCTGCCCCAGAAAAGAAATGGCCGTGCATGTTCTTTCAAAGGTCTTTGCAACCATATAGTTCTGGATCAGTTATATGAAATCACTGAACAACAGCCATGCCATTCAGGGATTATTTCCCCAACATTCACCCACATTTCAGTGACATCTCGACGTGAGGTCATGATCAAATTTATCCAGATCGAGACGTACCAGGCAATCAAACGTGGCAACAAAAAAATCATTGCTATGTTGGGGGTCCCTAAAATATGGGTACCCCCGGAATCACCCATTTATAGATCACCATTCTATCAAATATGGTTTCTAAACCAACCATCTATCAATATTTTATAGATAGTTGTTCATTTCTAGATGGTTTTTCAATTCCCATAGGATCCACCTATGCTATATATGGTAACATTTACCATCAATATACCCCAAATGTTAGCATATATACCAGCACCATGGATCCTATGGGATTCTAAACCAACCAGCTACTAGGTACCCCCATGACTATGGAAACACCACTGGGAGCTGCACGGCACAGCACCGCTGTGATCCAAGTGGAAATGGGTCACCAGCAGTAGATCCACCTGCGAAAATGGCCACGGTTTCAGTGGTGGTTTCCATAGAATGTGGCCCCCCCCCGAACGATAGCGTTCAGTTGCTGAACATAACTCCCATTTCACTATGGTTTATGATACCTAGATAACGAACTAGTATTCATGGGGTTTATAAACCAACATTCACATCACTGGGGGGGCGAGCCCAATGTAGAATAAATAGGAACACAAATGTAGGTATGTGTCACAATCCTGGCATTGTTTTTTTCCTACCAAAATGTAGTTAGTGTCGCTAGATATTTACCTCCCCGTTCCTATGGTCCGGTAAGATTCATCCATGACTGAACATAGGAATTCTGGGTCAAGATCGGGTATGAGACAAGTCATAAGGCACCTCATGGTCCTCATCCAAATTTGCATGTGGGAAACCCACCTGACCAATCATGATCCAGCTATCCAGGTCCAGGCTATCCAGGCTATCCAGGATTTTTTTTTTCGGATTCGAGCCATTTTTTGAGGGAAACATTGACCTGTGGACATTGAAACAGGGGATGGATCAAAATCTATGATCATAGCCGTCATAGCCTCTGGAAAATAAACATAGACCCTGAAAATCACCAATTGTTAGAGGAAACTAATCTTCCAACCCCTATCTACCAGGGTCTATGTTAATTTACCAGAGGGTATTTGCGGGGATGAACATGCAGTCCCAGCCACAAAATGCAACGAGCCAGGCGGCTTCGCTTGTGAGTCGTAAACTCAGGGACCATGACCAATCTTAGACGGCCAAAGAACGTCTTTTTCATTTGGCTACAACCAGGTTTGTGTACTCCCATGTATGTATATATATATATATATTTTTCAAAATAATGCAAAAGAAGAGTTACTTAATATCATTCAATAAGAAAGTGCCCATCCACTTGGTTGAGCTAGCAAATATCCCACTACCATTGTTTTAAAAATGTACATCCCTTATGGGTAAAATGATTGGTAGCTGGTCTCCCCAAGTCCCAGCAGGAAGTCCAAGCGGAATTCCATGGAATTCCTACCTCCGCGGGGTTGATGTGATCAAAGTAAGGCAAACAACTCATGCCGCTGTGCGCGGGGTGCACTCCGCAGTCGAACATCACCACCTGGCACCACGTTCGACCACCGCTTGTGCAGAGATGTTTGAGAATGGGGGATTTCGGCCCATTCTAGGGGTAGCCATTTGGATAGGTCATGATGATTCACTGGTGGAAGTTTGACTTAGATTGAATTTGACTAGATGCACGAAGTCATTGTCATGGAGGCAACAAAATTGGTGGTCTGGGCGTGCCTGAGAACGGGGAATTTCGTCAATGGGGTGACCATATTTTGATATGCAAAATATATTCACCCTTGGGTTTCCACAGGAAACAATGGGGGGTTTACCACCTCAAAACTCAGAGTTTTCCAGCGTCCCTTCAACTAACTCTGGGACATTGGAATTTTTTGTGGGTCAAAAATGGGCAAAGGAAGACATCCATATACTCCAAAGAGGTTCAAGCAGCAACACTTGGTTGTGCCTTTTTGGATGCAAGCCACGTGGTCATCAAAGAGATAACAAACCCAAATTGCCGCACATATGGCAGAGCCGGGACTCCTTCTCCAAAATCTAAGATCTTAAATCTTGATATCTTGATCAATGGGAATTCCAGGATCCTAAAATGGAGGTACTTTAGTACCATAGTGTTGGCCATATTTTGTTTTTTTCCCCTTACCCAAAAAAAAAACTACCCAGCAGTATCAAAATCTAAGTTGCTCAACCCCCACTTGGGGATGTTTAAAATCTCCCCAGGTCAGGTGAACATCGCGGCGGCACGGCGCCGCGCCTTGCCCCGGAAGCGCACGATGCAGCATGAACGACCCACCTCAACCGGCATCCAACCATGGATTGATGGTTTATAGTTTATAGCACCCAGAAAAAAAATGGTGTCATTGGGGATGCTGGATCCTATTGCTAACATTAGACTTCATCATTCCCAACTAGCTATGATGAGCTCCGAAACACAAACGAGGTCCTTTCTGATGGTTGGATGAATCTACAGCCCATTTACTGCGAAGGTTTCAAAAAAGCTGCAGGGGACGGACCTCAGCCCCTGCGCCCAAGGGTGTGATCTCCAGCACATCACCATCCACCTGAAGTAGCTGAACTTGGTGGCTGAACAGGTGGGCTGCTCATCGTGTTTTCTTTGAGATCAAGTGATGGTTTTATCTCAGAATGCACCACATCTTGTCCCAGAATCCATTGTCTGTATGCTTTTCATTGTCGATAGATATACTTCTAAGGTTTACATGATGCCAAGCTGAGAACCACTGCCAGATTTGAGTGGGTACATTGTTCCTTTATATCTAGTGCTATAATATAGATAGTTAGATGGTGCATTCAAACATCATTTTTTGAGGAGACAGTGTCAGACCAACTTGTGAAATCGAGGAACTTTTTAGCCACTGGGGGACTGGGGGTGGTGATTGTGTCTTCTTCGTCAGATGAACTAGCGTTTGAATCCTCAATATAGTACCTTGGTTATTTAACATAGCCATGGAAAATGGCCCATTTATAGATGGTTTACCTATTAAACATGGTGCTTTTCCATGGCTATGTTAAATAACCAGAGGGTAGTACCTTGGTGAGCATCCTCAAAATGAATTGACTCAAATTTACCAACACTATGGCAGTGCCAACCCACCATTACCCAGAAAATCCATGCTAGTGTCAAAAAAACATGGGTCATTGGGGATTTTCTGGTCATTCTCCATTTATATGGTTTTCGTATCCTGGTTGGTTGGTGGTTGACCTATCCCTCTAAAAAATGATGGAGTTCGTCAGTTGGGATGATGACATTCCCAACTGAATGGAAAGTCGTAGAATTCCATGGTTCCAAACCACCAACCAGATATGGTGACCACTCCATTTAACTATGTGGTTCCCATGGATTCACACCCACTTATAAACCACTTTTATATAGTTTTCATATCCATGTATCCCATGTATCACTGGATTTTTAAAGCCTTGGTTCTCTACCACACCTGGGACCCACCTGGGATCTCCAAACGCATTCCAGGCCTCGATGCGACGCGTGGTGCCCGCCACACCGGCCGTGATGGCTGGAACGCTCATGGCGGGTACAGCTCGGCTGGCTGGTTCGGTCAAGTGGTGAGGTATGAAGGTGGCCTGGTTGCTGGTTGACCCCTCTCAAAAATGAAAAAGGTTCGTCAGTTGGGATGATGAAATTCCCAATATATGGAAAAATAAAACATGTTCCAAACCACCAACCAGCTTTAGTTCACTGGCCAGTTGGTGCCAATTGCCAATGGTGTTGGTTTGTTGGTACCGAAACTCTCTTGCTATTGCTGAATCATCCTTTGCATGATTCGTGGCAAGCTGCGCAGTGATCAAGAGAAGAGGTGACCAAGATTTTTCATGATTTTTCCAGACTCTTCGTTGTTCAATGGAAAGGATGAAGCAGGGCGAGTTTGGTATGTCATGGTATGTCTGAGCGTTGGCAGATCCTGAAGATTCACCTTTTTTTTGTGGCGTTCAGGGTCAGTCCATGTGCCTTGCTGGCGCTCTCATGGTGCGGCTTGACCCTGCAATCTGCGGATGAAGCCAGTGGTTTCTGCCCCCGTTTTACGCCACCGACCTTTCTGAGACCATTGGTAAAGATAGATGGGTGGAGTCACTGATTACACGCTTACAACCAAAATTCGCCAGGTCATCTGTAACAAAACTAACCTGTCCAATGGTCGGTTGACTTAAGGGAACAATTAGAAGTAACTATGGTTTCTAGTTTCCACACTCAAATGAAGGGGTTTCCTATATGGTTTCGTGCAAATCTTCCCTTCAACCAATCTTTTTCACTATACCCTTGCCCCCCAAACTGACAACCATTCACCCAGCATTGCTTTAGGGTCCAGCTATTCTCAAGGTATCGGTTCCTATAGCTGCTTGATATTTGCAACTTGGCTTCGAGAGCTGCTACCAATTTGGGTGAAACTGATGATTGACCTCAAATTTGGGGGTACCCTCTGGTAAACTAAAATAAGTATGGAAAATCACCACTTTCAATGGGTAAATCCACTATAAATGGTCAGTCATGTTCAATAGCTATGTTAAATTACCAGAGTGCACCCTGTTTGGGCCAAACCCATATTCCTTGTGTTGCCTATAAAGTAGTGGACGCACTAGCTGCAATGGATCCTATCCTAACAAAAGGATTCGTTTTGGACAACCTTCAAGGGGTTCTCGGAAGTTCCCTCACAACCACTGCAACCTGGATGCAAATTTTCCCAGCCCAGCCACGATAATCACGAAATTTCACCTTCGCACCAAACATCCGAATTCCGCAGTCTCAGCTAATTAGATCCTCCAGGTCTCTGGATATCTGGACGAAATATGACGAAATGTGGTCCTTGCCCAAGCACAGACAACTTTTTTTCGCAAACTTTGGGATGGAAATACATGCTGGCACAATCTGGCATATGCTGACTGTTTTGTTTCCTGAACCAAACGAAAGAAATTTGAGGAGACCGGAAGGGCCTGTCCATCCACTTTTGTTTCATCGACTCCTTGAGGATCCTGAATTAACGGCTTTCATGGGTCAGAATTTTTCAATAGCTACAACGATGAATTGTTGAACATCTAATGATGATATGATTGGTTGCAAATTAGATACATTTGATTGGGTCAAAATCTAATGATCAAAATCTGCAACCCCAAAAAAAACCGTTGGGTCAATTGGTTGCAAATTCTGACCCATACCCAGCTCCGCATCTCTTCGTTCACTTTACTGCCTTTCACATGCACGACTTTTTTCCATGCACTCATGGTAGCAGCTCACCATACCGGGGCCACGATCATGGGTAATCATCATTTCAGGGGCAACAACCTGGACGCCACGGCGATGTGCAGAAATGCCACATACATATCCGCAAAAACTTGGTGTAAGTAGGAGTGGATTGAGATTCAAAGCCTATATCTTCCCATTTTGGCCGTGTTGCGTTTACCACATTTTCCTATATTTTCCCTTTGTTTCGCTCTATATTTCACCATGATACCCCCAGGTTCATACCGGGCCCATGGTACCGAGAAATGGCCCTTTCTCAGGCGGTGCCACGAATTCAGCTCAGAATCTCTACCTGCGAAATCTGCGTCCCAACGATGGGATTGAACCAACCACAGGGGGGACATTCTGTGGAGATACATGGCTGGTTGGTGGTTGACCTACCCCTCTGAAAAATATGAGTTCGTCAAAAGGGAAGGATGACATCCCATATATTATGGAAAAATATGGAAAATAAAAAATGGTCCAAACCACCAACCAGTATACGGATTTAACCTTTAAACAACTCAAACGGTTGGTGCTTGGGTTGTACATACGAGGCGCCACACATTGCTAGTTTGCAACCCTGCTGATCATATAGAGGAATCATATATATCATATGTCATCCTAAAGCTGATAATCACTCAATCAGCATGTTTTTTCTGATGATTCGGCATTCAGCCAAAATCAATAGATTGGTTTAAGGGAAAATTTACAGGAAAACCCCATATTCAATGGGGAAATCCATGGTTTCCTGTAAAATTTCCCCCAAACCAATCCATTGACAAAATCAATCCAGTCACATTCTTCATGATCCTGCAGCCAAGTTGGTGATGCCTCGCCTCCGGCGAGAAACTTCTCGTCCGTGCCGTGGGTGTCACAATGCCCTGCAGGGACTGACAGGTCATACGGCAACGCTCCACCTGCACTGCACGAAGCTCTGGGGAAACGCTTCGCAAAAGGAACTGAGGCACACAGTTCCCCCGCAAGAAAAAGATGGAAAAGGCTTAATCATGTTTCATGATTCTTGTAGAAATTCACTTTTTTTATCTTGTTGAGGAACCTTGTGGGGTTGCTATATATATATATATGGATGGATTGAACTTATTTCCACTTAGAAGGGAATGGGGGAAATATGTGTGTGTGTGTGTGTCAAGCTCTGTACCAAAGAGTTCTTCACCTTTTGTGGCTGACTTCAACTAACTTGTTTTTGGCCGCTTTCTTCCATAAATTATTGATACCGTTGCGCCTTTAATTCATAGCAGGGGGCACAAGGACCTTTGGTGAGTCTTGTGCCAATGAAGACACTCACCTCAGGTTGTGAAAACGTACCTGCATGATGCACCTGGATGACATACCCAATATGTTGGGGTCATAGCTGGTGGTCATATCCGTATCCGTTAGTATTCCATGGGATCAGGCTAACCCAAGAACCTGCATGCCGTCATTCATTCATTTCATGACCATGCTGGATTGAGAAATCTCGGTTTTTTCTTTTAAACAACCAGACATCCAAATGTCAACGGATAAGCTTGGCCTTTTTAACTCGGTATGGCCGAGTGATGCCTTCAACCTACCATGAGGTAATCAGACTTTGCATTCATGAGAAGAAACTGTCTTTCATGACTTCGCAAGTGTGTGTGTGTGTGGGGGTGTTGTTTCAATCTCATTCCACCCAATGGATGATTCAACACACTGGGGACTCTGATCATGTTCATTCGCCACCTGCCCGTGAGTCATCCTTGCATCAAACAGAGAGGCTGCCTCCGGATGTTGAAACTCAATAGCACATGGAAGATCTATATCCAATACCATCCTTGCATCACTCCCCGCGTTTGTATGATTTGGGTCTGTCTGAAACAAGGCTACTAGAGCCGTCCCACGGTTTAAAAGATATCACTTCACCAAAGAGAACTTGCATCTTTTTGGGGCTTAACCCCCATTCTTCAGACAGATCCAAATGATATGCTTGATAATATGTCCCATTATATTCCTATTATAGCTGGTATATTCCCAGCAAATACCCACTATTTTTGCGAATCTCATAGATCCGCTGACTTTGCACTTCCGCATGGCAGGCCTCTTTCAAGAGGACCCGCATGCGGAAGAGCAATGCCGGATCCATCAACTGACCGGGAGGCTCTGCGCGACTTGGGAAGGGTTGTATATATAGCCAACCTGGGATTAAACATGATATATGATATATGATATATGATATATGATACGATATGATATACAACCCACTAACTTGCATGGTTTATACATGATATATACTGTGTACTGTTTTTTTCACATTGCATATAAACAGCATATATTGTATCCCCGGTTGTAGATAGTTTATGATCTATTTTGCAGTTGCAGTACCACGAGAGGGATGCATATCCAAGTAGAACGTTGTTTCTATGGTGGTACCCGAAATCATCCCGAAGTGATGATTTAACAAATTAAACATGCTCAAGCCATCCAATCATTTTGGGTGCCATGATTTCAAGACACTTAATGACACTTAAAGTTTATGTATTGAGGAGGATAATTCTGCTAAATACAGATTTGGAGACTGTGCTACGGGTTTGTCTGAACATGTTAGGAAAACCCCCATTCCATGGTGGTCGAGAAAAATGATGCGTCCCATAGTCCTATTGTGGCCCTCATTTTGGATAACCCCATTTGGAGGTCATGGTCATCCCCTGACAACTAGCCTCACTCCTTTTTCGGAATCTGTGAGAGTTTGCACTTGGAGGGGTACAAGTGAGGTTAGTATGGCAAGTCTAGTGCTTCCCATTGTCTTTAAGACATGTAGCGCATGAGAACCATCCATGTTCCCCATGACTTGAATGAACGCAACGCTGCAGCAGTGTTTTTGAACCGCCAAGGGTCAGCATTCCCACTTGGGGAATGTCATCGACAAGGAGTTTTCTCAACTCTCAACCAATGCGCCAAATTTGCCAGCACCGTCTTTTAAGTGTACAGTGTCTTGGCATGTAATGCAGTAAACAGTTTAGTAACCCAAAGAATTGGCTGTACCTACATCACCAGAACTGCTTGGGTATACTATAAATATCTATAAACACATGTAAACATCTATAAACATCTATATATAAACCATCAAACATTGGAGCTTATTGTTTGCTTCACCACATCCACCGGCGGAATTTCACGCATTTCGCTTGCTCTCAGTCTCAACCTCGGTGCTAACGACTGCATGGGCCAACACTGGGTCACTCCACTAGGGTTGACATGTTGATACGAGGAGTACATTCTGTCCATAGGGATCCAATTGGGGATCAATATGCTCACAAAAATTTGTACATTATGGTCATATATAGGACCATATTATCATATGAGTACACATGTGACCATACACATTGTGTCCAACATAAAGTACATTATGGTCATTGATTTTTTGAAATGCTGGACATGCTGGACATGAATCCCGATGGATTGATGATCATGACTCTACGATGAAACAAACCGCAAAGTGAACTGAAATGAATCGTAAGTTAATGAGTGAAATGTTATGGGCATATTGTTGTGTCACTCATATGGGATGTTATGGGATGTTATGGGCATATTGTAAATTTCCAAGGGGAAGAATAAATGTCACAGGTGGGACCAACCTGTTTTTTCGTCACTTCTGAAAACCCTATTGCTGCTTTACTTCAACTGGTTAGTTGCATCCCCGAGAATCGGCGTTTGTACAATGTGTTGTCCATATCGAACATGGGGATTCTCAGATTAGCTGCAAAATCGTGTCTCTTTTCTCCAACCACAACCGCCACAACCATTACATCCTGCTAAGAAAAATCTGGAGACATACAAGCTGCTCTCAAGAGTGATTGCCTCTCTTGGGCAGCATCACTCCTGCTAACCTTTGATGCAAACTTCGCAACCGCAACATGCCCACCTCTGAAGACTGCTTGGCAGGGTTACTCCTTGCAAACTCTGGTTGAAACACTTTCCATATGTCAAGCTCTGAAGACTGCTTGGCAGGGTTACTCCTTGCAAACTCTGGTTGAAACACTTTCCATATGTCAAGCTCTGAAGACTGCTTGGCAGCATGACTCCATGCAAGCTATGGTTGTGATCGTTTCCAAATGTCAAGCTCTGAAGACTGCTTGGCAGCATGACTCCATGCAAGCTATGGTTATACAGTAATCGTTTCCAAATGTCAAGCTCTGAAGACTGCTTGGCAGGGTCACTCCCTGGCCCTGCAAGGACTGGTCGAAACGTTGCCCAAATGTCAAGCTGCACAGACTGCTTGGCAGTGCCAATCCTTGCAAGCTCTGATTGAAACTTCTTCCAAATGTCAAGCTTTGAAGACTGCTTGGCAGGGTCACTCCTTGCAAGCTCTCGTTGAAACAATCGGAAAATGTCAAGCTGACACGGCTTGCGGGAGGATTGTTCAGATTCTGCAAGATGGCTGCACTTACACCTTCTATCTTTTGCGACCCCTTCCAATGCATGCTCTCCGTCAGAGACTGGAATTCCGTGGATGCAACTCCATGCAGCAACATTTGTTGGAACATATGTGCCGAGCATTGCAGCCTCGCCGCCTGCAATGCTGCAACAAACCAACGTTTGTTGCAGTCTCAGAGGCCAATCCCTCACCGAGACATCATGGAGATCGACCAGGTTGGGCCGATATCACAGTGACACATAGGATCGCTAGATTCTCGGGTTCCGATCTTTCAGAACCACCCAACACTAATTCAATCGATACTAGCTGTATCTATCTATATACATATATATATATATATTATATTGCAAGTCTCTGCATTTTCAACAACGATTGCCGCAAATACCCAAGTCACAAGATATGAGCCGTATACAGCAAGTCTGTACATTTTAACCAAATCTATTACCCTTGTACCAGCCCCCTTTGAACTCTATGATAAGCGATCTGCTCATTATTCTCACAGACGTGCTTTGTCGATGTTTGTCGAACTATATGCCACCCAAAACCAAAGCGGACTATACTCAAGTCATTTATTGAGATCCACACCGAGGTGTCCAATGCCGCTCAAAAAAAATTGGACCCACAAGAGGAAAAATCCGGAAACAAAACCTGGTTCGTTAATATTTAACGGTGAAGTTGAACCTGAACCTTCAGTGTCCCAGATAGGCATTGTTATTGTGGGGATAGGATGAAGCATCATGTGGAAGCTCACCTTATGGACGAACATTGGCAATGTGGTTTCAAGCTAAGCCAATGGTGAATATGCCCAAAGTTGGATTGTTTTAAAAAGTTTTAAACCAACGTTCCTACCAAGCAAAGTTCCCATCCTGGAGTAAAACACTGGGGCTCCATACTGTCCGATTCGGTAAGCATCAGCCTGGGCTGTTGGGGTTGAGATTTGCTGGCCTTTTTTTAACATTGACTGACAAAGCTTTGGGGATGTGGTCTCAACCCATCAGCGATTGGTGGTTTCAACCCAGCTCAAAAAAAATCACTCATTTTGGGGATCCTGATTCCAAGCTTGATTACAAATAAATGTATGTAAAACATTTTAAAACCACCAGCCAAACAGTAAGTGGAATGTGCAACTGAAATTCTAGATGTATGATTCACGGTATGATCAACAACCAATGGGCATTTTTTGTTTTTTTGACCAACAAACTATAGGTACAAAGTTAAAGGCCCCGCGGAGGCAACAAATTGAAACTTTGTGTCTGGCCGTGCAGAATAATTTGGAACTAAATCATTCTAGGGCTGCCCAATGTTGACCTTTTCCTGTAGTGCTGGAAGAATCTCTGCCTGATGTGATGGAAACAGTCAATACCTCTGACCTGCGAACATGTTCAACCACGTGTCCTCTTGTTCCAGCATGTGTTGCACCATCTTGATATTATGGTGAATCATCTTCCTCTGCTTATCCAGGGATGAAAACTTCAAAATCAACACAGGCATTGAGAGGAAAAATGTGTTCGGCCTATCACACAGACTGAGCAAATTAAACTCACCAATGATTGCTGTCATTTTAAGTGACGGGCACTATGTCCAATAGATTGCAATAGTATGTTGTCACTTTCTGTTGTTTCCCCTAAGTTTCTGTCAGCAATTACTAGTGGACAATTCATTGTCAAGTTCCCCTGATTCTTGTCCAAACTGGCCAGGGGCAGTCGATCTTGGCCGAAGACTTGGCTTCAGTAGCGAGGCAAACCTAACTATAAACCACCCCCAGTCAGGATTTATTCATTGGTATACGCTATATATATACCCCTATTTGGGATGATGTTCTTTTGACCTCCCGTTGCGGTTGGTGACAGGGAAGTCTGATCCATCATGGAATCCCATGGAATCCCATGGACAACACTTAAGTACTGGAAATTAAACGGCACCAGAGGGCACTAGAAAAACAAGAGCGCATTGGTTTGTAACTAGGCTAGCTAGGGATTCTGATGATTATCTGCCAGTATAACTATATTAACCTATAGTGTTTTTTCTTTCTCAGCCAACTTCAAACCACCTATCATATACGATATATATATATATAAATATATTATTATATATATATTATATATATATTATACTATATTATATTATATTATATTATCTTTTATTATATTAGATTAGATTATATTATATTATATTATATTATAATTATATTATATTATATTAAATTATATTATATTATATTATATTGGGCTCTGCCTCGTGACACTAACAGTGACCACAATTCATACCACAAAAAAAAAGCACAAAAAAAACAGGTTGTAGTCCCCAATATGACTTTCATTTCCCCTTATTAAGGCTAGATGACCAGGCATGTTCCCTGCAAGTTGGCTCCACGGTCGGCACATTTACTTGCCGTGCCCAGAAGTCCTTGCTGTCAAAATTCGACATTGGCATTTCCAATGGGGTGCCTCATGCATCCAGCTTGTCAGCACCTTGTGGGTAGTGATGCTGCTGATTGCAAAGCAATATTGTTTAGGGTTTTGGATGCTGCCCATTGCAGCGATGATGGCAAAGCAATACTGTTTAGGGTTTCGGATGCTGCCCATGGCAGCGCTGATGGCAAAGCAACGCTGGTTAGGGTTTAGGATGCTGCCCACCACAATGCCGATGGCAAAGTAATGCTGTTAGGGTTTAGAATGTTGCCCATCGCAGCGCCGATAGCAAAACAATAGAATGTGTGTGTACAATACATATAAAGGCCGGGGCTGCTGGACTGACCCTGGGCAAGGGTTGGGGGCTGAGCCTGGGGGCTGGAGCCTGGGAGCTGGGGAATGCTGGGGGACTAGAGGCCTGGCGGGCTGGCTGGCTGAGGTGGGGGCTGGAGCTGGGCCGGGCTGGCCAATTGAAAATGCTTTAAAAGCAGCGACTTTCCAAAAGCCGAAAAAAAGCAGAAAAAAGCAGAAAAAAAGCACAAAACAAGCACAAAAAAAAGCAGAAACTGGCGCAGGAAAAAAAGGAAAATGACTTTGTTTTTTTTGTGCTTTTTTTTGTGGTATGAATTGTGCTTTTTTTTGTGCTTTTTTTTGTGGTATGAATTGTGTTTTTTTTTGTGCTTTTTTTTGTGCTATGAATTGTGCTTTTTTTTGTGCTTTTTGTGGTATGAATTGTGCTTTTTTTTGTGCTTTGTTTTGTGGTATGAATTGTGTTTTTTTGTGTGCTTTTTTTTGTGGTATGAATTGTGCTTTTTTTTGTGCTTTTTTTTGTGGTATGAATTGTGCTTTTTTTTGTGCTTTTTTTTGTGGTATGAATTGTGCTTTTTTTGTGCTTTTTTTTGTGGTATGAATTGTGCTTTTTTTTGGCTTTTTTTTGTGGTATGAATTGTGCTTTTTTTTGTGCTTTTTTTTGTGGTATGAATTGTGCTTTTTTTTGTGGTTTTTTTTGTGCTTTTTTTTGTGGTATGAATTGTGTTTTTTTTTGTGTTTTTTTTGTGGTATGAATTGTGCTTTTTTTGTGCTTTCCCTGTTTTTTTTTGTGGTCTGACTGTGTGTTTTTTTTTTGTGCTTTTTTGTGGTATGAGATGTGGTTTGTTTTTGTGCTTTGTTGTGGTATGAATGTGTTTTTTCTTGTGATGTTTTTTTCTGTATGCTTTCTGGAATTGACAACAAATTAAACATTTTGCCTTCGCAATGTTCAAGGACGAACGGCTGGAAACGCGCATGATTTTAGTGTTTTTTTTTGTGCTTTTTTTTGTGGTATGAATTGTGCTTTTTTTTGTGCTTTTTTTTGTGGTATGAATTGTGTTTTTTTTTGTGCTTTTTTTTGTGCTTTTTTTTGTGGTATGAATTGTGCTTTTTTTTGTGCTTTTTTTTGTGGTATGAATTGTGCTTTTTTTTGTGCTTTTTTTTGTGGTATGAATTGTGCTTTTTTTTGTGCTTTTTTTTGTGGTATGAATTGTGTTTTTTTGTGTTTTTTTTGTGGTATGAATTGTGCTTTTTTTTGTTTTTTTTGTGGTATGAATTGTGCTTTTTTTTGTGCTTTTTTTTGTGGTATGAATTGTGCTTTTTTTTGTTTTTTTTGTGCTTTTTTTGTGGTATGAATTGTGTTTTTTTTTGTGTTTTTTTTGTGGTATGAATTGTGCTTTTTTTGTGGTATGAATTGTGCTTTTTTTTGTGCTTTTTAGTGCTTTTTTTGGGAAAAAGCACAATTTCTCTGGAAAAAATGAATCTCAGGCCACCTGGCCTCGACAGCCTTCGGACCAGCGGCCCGGCAAATGTCTCATACCATTTCCTTTTTTCCAACCTCCTTTCCAAAAAAAACTCTCAAGAGTGAGCCCATGCCAGGAGCGGGAATGTGAAAAAAAATGTAATTATCATATGATGTTTATTAAGAACCTCAACAACTATTGTTGGAGGCACGCCTTTGTAACGCTTTTCACTTATAACTTACAATGGTTGGACCGTTTGATTGCAGTGTCTCGGTATCTCAGGTATGCTGCGTTCAATATTGTAAAGAATGTCATGAGTCAGAATATCGTATCATCATATCGATGCAACGCCTTGCATCATCATACCAAATCATTGCCATTGCTATTTGACACACAAATATTCAGATAAACAAAATGATGTCAGCTGTCAGACTTCTCAGAACCATTCCAACGCTCCAACCATCAAAGGATATCAACAGCAACAGCGATACTTTGATTTTTTGGCTAGTTGATGACAAGTTCAGCAAACATGTCCTGATGGCTCCAACAATATGGCGCAATACAAAAGGATGTTCGTTAAAATGATTTAAATGGTTTAACCACAAGCAATGCCACCTCAAAGGTAGTGATGTTGTTGCATTCACTACTCCACCCTTTGTTACTTGTACGGCCCACCTAGATCACATCTTCTCCTAAGCAGACCCTAAGGATCCCCTAAAATGGCCTGAGTTACCACCAATATGATTGTGCTTTTTTGGTATGTGGTTTATGAAGGGGGGGCAGTTTTGAACTGTTAGTGGGCGGGGGCAGACCTCAATATATATATATATATAAATATATATATATATTGTCAATCATCTATCAATCATTTTATCGCCTTTCCTTGCAACAAAGTCTCATTTTTAACTCAGGCAGCTTAGCGGCTACCCCGCCGGTACCGACGGTACGGTGGACGCCGTGGACGCCGCGGAGCGAGACACCGAGGAGTCCTGACCATCGGGCGCTTACCATGTGGGTTTTACCATGGGAAACCAGAGTGGAAACCATAGTGGAACATAGTGAATAGAATGGTTTACCCTCTGGTAAATTAACAGTTCGACCCTGGCAGTCATCGGGGTTGGAAGACTAGTTTCCATTACAGATTGGTGATTTTCAAGGTCTATGTTAATTTACCAGGGGGTATATGATGGGAACATCTGTTGTGATGGAGAAATGAACTAGTTATGGCTAGTTAACTACTTGTTATGGATGGGGAACTTTTTGTGTCCAATGAAAACAACAACTTTTCAAATATGTTCTAGAGGATTCCAATGGGACTTTGGCAATGTGCAGACAAACATGGTATAGATGAGTCCATGTTCTGTTTCCATGGCATCTTGTTGTGAAAATGCGGCACGGTAAAAAAAGATCACAACATGTCATCATATCATCACAAGCCTAGTTGCCCAAACATCTAAAATTGAAAAACACAGACCTGGTGGGTGGTTTCAACCCCTCTGACAACATTTCAGTTGGGATGATTCTTCCCAACTGAATGGAAAAATAAAACATGTTCCAAACCACCAACCAGAGACTCAGTGCTTTGTCTGAAACTCTTGGAGAAAATTGGGTCAAATGTTGGGTCAAGACACACAAAACATAAGATTTGTTTAAGAGGTCCCCAAAAAATGTGACAACACATATCAAAAACATATCCCAAACTGGTTGGCGGTTTTAACCATCTTGAAAAATGATGGAGTTCGTCAATGGGAAGGATTATCCTATATTATGGAAAATAAAAAATGTTTGAAATCACCAACCAACTATATATTAGGCTATAGACCATTCACCAAAGCTGACCCATTAGTCAGTTGGGATGATGACATTCCCAATATATGGAAAAATAATCCAAATGTTTGAAGCCACCAACCAGCAAATATCAGTAAATTCCCCAAATTATACACTTCCCATTACCATTCCCATGATACACTTCGCCTGTCGCCGCAGGGCGATGAAAAGAAAGACCACCAGGAGAAGCAAACAGGTGACCTGATCGGCCGCTGAGTGTCTGAAAATGGTACCTGTACCCGGCCTGGTAAACGTTTACACTTTGCGAACTGGAAAGATCCACCATTGTCAATGGGTAAATCCACTATTTCGACTGGGCCATTTTCATAGCTATAGAAAATCATCCCTTTTTGAATGGGTTAATCAAATCAACTAACAGTTTGCTATGGAAAATCATCCCTTTTTGAATGGGTTAATCAACTATTTCGACTGGGCCATGGCTTCGATAGCAAACTGTAACAAAGTACCAGAGGCTACCCCGAAAAAAACATGGCCATTTGATAACAATTTGAATCAACCCGGGATTTTGGGATACCCTATTTTCGCCCATATCCCATGTATTGGACAAAACCATATGGAAAACACATATGATATATGGAACTGGTGTATAACAACCAGTTTTTGCCAGTTTTCCTGAAACAAACATATGGGTATAGTTTCTATAGTCTACAATATATTAATGCATTTTATTGCCTTTTTGATTTTTGGATTGGCAATCAGCAAAAAAGTGACAATTGTTTGCCGAATATCATTGGGAGAAAACTATATAGATTTGGAGATATATGAAATATGCTTGGGTTGATTGGCTCAGTAGGCCCCCCCAACGTGCAACGGCCAAATCATTTTGTGACTATCGTTGACATCTCTAGCTCTGTCTTCCAAACTTCCTCACATCAATCATGGTTGACGTTATTAAAACTTAAACAAATACATTACATATTCAATCACAAGCACACACACACATATATATATATATATTATAATTGCAAAAAACACAACATGTATACTAATAGCAATTACTAGCATATAAATATATAATATCCATCTATCCATGTTGAGGCAAAACATGGAGAATCACGTAACCAGTCCCTTTAAAACCCTTTTAAATTCAGCGCCATGGTGACAAACATGGGCCAAGGAGCAGCATTGGAGCCGATGAGGATGAAGAATACCAGGCTCTTGTTGGTGTTGGTCCAGCTTTCAGACATCAAATACCTGAGGTCCAGTTGTGGATCGCAAAAACAAAGGGAAGCCCCTTTAAGGGGGTATTATGGTATACCATGGACGGAAATGGCGGGAAAACCAAGTTTTGGAATCCCAAGATCCCAAGTTCTTTATCAACGTCCGAATTGGTAGAAATGGTATATATATATATCCCATATGTATATATAGATGGGATACATGGGATATATACCATTATATATGGGAATGGAGCTGCCCTGCAACTTTCTCCAATTGCTCCTATGGGATGATCCGTGTGGAATTCAGATGGCAACCGCTTCAACCTTAAATAACACGCACTCTTTCCAACATGAAATAAACATGAAATATGTTGATAATACGTTGAAATACATCGCATATGTTGAAAAATTATAGATTCATGCTGAAAAACTTCTGGAATCAAATTTCACGGCCAAATCACAGCGTGAGAATCAACGCTAGCATCGAATAGGTCAACACACCACCTGAGTAGCACGGCCAGGGTCCGGACCCTGGCTGACCAGGGGTTAACACTGAACATGGGCTTTGAACCAGTATCCAAAATGGGTACGTCAACAACAAATACGGAGTCAGAAATAGAAAATGGATGAAAATGGAGATATGACTGATATAGGTCAACAATACTATGGTCTGTATCAACCAATATGGTGATGGGCTCCTACTAAACCTAATATTGGGCCATATTGGGCGAGATCATCTCGAACTGAAAAAACGGCAGGAGTCGATTGGGCTGGTGATTTCAACAGGAGCGTAATATGGCGTGACGGTCGGTGGTTGACCTACCCCAATGGTGGTTAATGGTGGTTAATGGTGGTTAATGATGGTTAATGGTGGTTAATGGTGGTTTATGGTGGTTAATGGTGGTTAATGGTGGTTGGTTAATGGTGGTTGGTTAATGGTGGTTGGTTAATGGTGGTTGGTTAATGGTGGTTGGTTAATGGTGGTTGGTTAATGGTTGTTAGTTAATGGTGGTTAGTTAATGGTGGTTAGTTAATGGTGGTTAGTTAATGGTGGTTAGTTAATGGTGGTTAGTTAATGGTGGTTATATAATGGTGGTTATATAATGGTGGTTATATAATGGTGGTTATATAATGGTGGTTAATGGTGGTTATATAATGGTGGTGAATGGATATATATCTGGTTGGTGGTTGACCTACCCCTCTGAAAAATGATGGAGTGAAAGTCAGATTGGATCATCATGCCATTGGGGGGAAAAACATGGTGACGGCGCCTGTAAGAGGCCGTGTTTTTATGCTCATTGCATTTGCACCGATGAAATCAATTGCTTCAAAAACCCAAGGTTTTTGCACATTCTGATTGAAGTCCATCATGAATCTAGAGAATAAAACACTGTAAGGCTGACCGAGGACATGCGTTTTTGGAACCCCTCGCAGCATTTTCATCACTTTTTTAACTCTTTGCCGGCGCGCCTGAAGTTTCAAGTGCTTTTTTTTCGGCACTCTTCTGCCAAAGGTATTTGCGTAATGCATGATGAACATACTTACCTGAGAAACCTGTAATGAAACCATGTTCAAGTGACACATATGTGTGGAATTAAGCATTAGATGCATGTAGAAAACTACACCTTGGGTAAATATCTTTAAATCAAAGAAAGAACTTGCTAACACACCCCCAACAGCCCCCAGAGACCGCAACGTAGCATGACAAGAGTGCGCAAGTGCAAAAGAAGAGCTTGTGAACGTAGCATCACGTAGTTGTATACCTTGAAGGGACCGTGCAGTAGCGTAGCATCACGTAGTTGTATAACTTGAAGAGAACGTGCAGTAGCGTAGCATCACGTAGTTGTATACCTTGAAGAGAACGTGCAGTAGCGTAGCATCACGTAGTTGTATACCTTGAAGAGAACGTGCAGTAGCGTAGCATCACGTAGTTGTGTAAATTGAAGAGAACGTGCAGTAGCGTAGCATCACGTACGTGTGCAAGTCCAATGAACGTTAACATCCCCCCCACCCACCCACCCAGCCCCCCACCCCAGTCAACGTAGCATCACGTAGTTGTATACCTTGAAGAGAACGTGCAGTAGCGTAGCATCACGTAAGTGTGCAAGTCCCATGAACGTTAACATCCCCCACCCCACCCCCCCACCCCCCAACGAACCGTAAAAGACGAGACAGGAAAAATGACGTACGCGCACGGCCTCTTAGAGGCGCCGTCACCAAAAACATGTTCCAAACCACCAACCAGTTTTTCTTGATGGAACCATCATTTTCCTAGCAAAGCAAAGCAACACTTTCAGAATGTTCATCTATTTTTGGGTCTTTTCCCTGACAAAAAAGAGTCATCATCCGAAGCTGGCTTCGTATGGCCTGACAACCGACATCAAACGCTCCGCCGCACCTTCGAGGAGGTTCATCAGTGGGTCCACATACGGTCGCATCGCCATATGTCCTGCGATCAAAATTATGGTGGCGATAAGGAATCCAACTTAAGATGTCCAATGGTCAGTCTGGTACGAGAGATTTATAGACATGAAATAAAGCGGGTGTTGGTTGGCTATCCCCACTGTTGTTGGTATCTATCCCGAAACACTTGTTGCAACATATACAAACTAACTGATGGAAAGTGGACGCGGGTGACTTTCCATAAGTGCTTCAAACATCTTCAAACTACCAACGGTTCTTTCTGTCTATGCAGCCCACATGTTCCTCCACCGTTTCCGGCTATGATGTCCTACCAGCGCAGCCAACATGATCAGCACGGTGGCAATGACCAAGGACATCCTCAGTTTTTTGGGCAGGAATCACCATGGAACCTGCAGGTCACCGTGACATAAAAAAATGGTGACCTCAACAAAGCAGCAGCAAGTATCACGGCTTGGAAAAAACACCCGGTGACCTGGAACCGTTCACGGTGAGTTACAGAGTATCTTGCAACATGTGAATTATTAAACACGTTCGATCTCAACCCTTGTTCCCATGATCATCATCCTGATGTGTGTTCACATTCCACCTTTGCTTGGGCGGTCGGTAAATCCCGTTTTTCGCAGATCAACTCCGGTGTGAATCAAATACCCATGTGGTTGCTGAAAGACATTGTTAAGAGAGATCCCCAAGTTTGTTGCTGAATTCTATGTGTCCTTCACCAAAATTTACTTTTGGTGGTGACCCCCCATGTGTGTTACTATTTAAAACATATTTTAACATATATATACTGTGGTGTTTTTATCATAGGTGAATAGTTGCTATAGGGTTATACATAATATATATATATATACTATTCTATCGGGTCACCCCCACATATTTACATATATATTTTATGTAATTATAGTATATATAATATGTTATCCGGGTCACCCCCATATGTTTACATATGTATATATATATATACTATCTTATCGGGTCACCCACACATACACACATATATATATATATACTTTAAACCCCACAACGCTTCCACTCAGCTATCACAGCAGCAACAGCAGCTGAATTGGGATTTGAGTGGATTTTTTCAAAAATTGGGATGATCGGGGTTCCTTAGAACGCTCGCTACCGGTAGTGAATTGGGGTTTGAATTGATTTTTTCTAAAATTGGGATGATCGGGGGCCCTTAGAACGCTCGCTACCGGTAGTGAGTGTTCTAAGAGGGAGCGACGGTCGCTCCCTGTTAGAACGCTCCCTAAGATAGATAGTGTTCTAACAGGGTGCGACGGTCGCTCCCTGTTAGAACGCTCGCTACCGGTAGTGAGTGTTCTAAGGGGGGGTTGGCAAACATCGGACCAGGGATGATCTTGTGTTTTCGCTGGGGTCTTAGTTGGAAGAACGCAAGATTGAGGGTGCTCCAGCGACAGGAAACCTCCCTTAGAACGCTCGCTACCGGTAGTGAGTGTTCTAAGAGGGAGCGACGGTCGCTCCCTGTTAGAACGCTATCTATCTTAAAAGCAGCAATTATACATATGGATGATTGGGGGGCCCTTAGAACGCTCGCTACCGGTAGTGAATGGGGAATTCTTTCAAAAATTGGGACGATTGGGGTTCCTTAGAACGCTCGCTACCGGTAGTGAATGGGGAATTCTTTCAAAAATTGGGACGATTGGGGTTCCTTAGAACGCTCGCTACCGGTAGTGAATGGGGAATTCTGTCAAGAATTGGGATGATGGGGAGCAATTAGAACGCTCGCTACCGGTAGTGAATGGGTAATTCTGTCAAAATGGGTAATTTTTGAAAAAAGCCGGCTGTTGCTGCTGTGATAGCTGAGTGGAAGCGTTGTGGGGTTTAAAGTATATATATATATATGTGTGTATGTGTGGGTGACCCGATAAGATAGTATATATATATATACATATGTAAACATATGGGGGTGACCCGGATAACATATTATATATACTATAATTACATAAAATATATATGTAAATATGTGGGGGTGGCCCGATAGCATAGTATATATATATTATGTATAACCCTATAACAACTATTCACCTATGATAAAAACACCACAGTATATATATATATATGAATATCCGAATTTTGTTGGCCAACATATATTGCACATTCACAAGCTTGATGAAATTCCCTGTAGGCTTGGTATGGCTTGGTGCTAGTCACAGACATCGAAGTGCTTCGGTGCATTTTTTTGAAACCAATTCTTGGGTCAAATCCTACGTATTTATGGTGCCACTTGTAAGATAGTAGGTTTAGTAAGAGGTATAAGTGATGGTAATACAGATATTTTATGGTAAGTCTAGTAAGATCCCAATCCTTTATTGGTCAATCATGGTCAAGTTGAACAAGTTTCGTCAATGTGGCCCTCCCACAGTCATAAGTTGATTTAGAAGCGATCCAGATCGATCCAACTATAGATCCATTACGTTTTTGAACCACAACATGTGCTAACTTAATTCACCCAACTTAGCTAGTCACACCCTCGCAAGAAGACTGCGTGAATCACCATGTAACTGTTGTGTTTTCATGTTTTTTTCCCTCTATTATTGTGGAGAACCCAAATGTTGGTTGCTCGTAAATCCATGTAAATTCCCATTTTTGTGGGTTACACCAGCCTCTGTTGAACACACCCAATCCACCGCCAAGCAGCGGGGCATACGACACGGGCAGCAAGACCAGGGCACCGATCAGGAAGGTCTTGCGGAGCAGCACCGTGATCTCCCACCATTCGCAGTGCACGTTGTAGCCTGTGGTGCCAGACCGATGGAAACTTGCGGCTTGAAATGGGCCCATGTTCATTTGCACTCTTGATGACTGTGAATGATGGCTGTTCCTATCTCCCCATCCTGTTCCCAGGGCCCAAAAGGGGTCGACCCTTAGATCCGCCTGCGATGAGGAATCCAATGTACTCCTTGCGGTTCTTCCACTTCCGCGATTGTGACACCATGAAGGCCCAGTGGAGCGGACCCAGCAACAGAAACCTGGAGCCGAAGCAGTTGGCAGGTGGCTACTAGAAATGGATCAGCTAGACTGGGTTGCATGAATTATCTGTGACCTCCTCTGCACGGGGTTGCGGGGGTGTGATGTCCGATGGCTAACTCTTTGGGCCCCACACACTAGACATGGCATGCGGTCAAAACATCATCACAAGTTGTAGAGGAGGGACATTATCAAATATCAGGCTACAAAGTAAAAACTCACAACTCCTATGTAATTTATTTTTTTGATCTCTATTAAATCAGCAGTAGGATTGAACTGCTTTGTCTTTAGGAGCATACTGCAGCATGGCACACATCTGTTGGATGAAGAGCTCATTTCAGGCTTCTTCCGTCAAGGCATCATAACCATGATATATTCTATTCGGGGTCACCATTAAAAAAAATGATTTCATAATCTCCCAAAAGGTAATTATAGGCTCTTAATCTCTCATTTCATATCTAAGGTGATAATAATCTCGAATATGCAGGTAGGTCAATAGTTGTCTATACCTTATCAAGCAGTCACCATTGATCAATTCTATCCCCATGTTCTTGATGGATTCTTGATGGTAAATCCCAAAAAACGGATGATTAAGTTACTGTACAATAAATCTCCATCAAATGACTAACCAGGGGTCAGCTAATAAACTCAACCCCATAAAATCCATATAAAATCCACAAAAACCATCCCCAAGTCACCAATGGAGGCGATGTTTACCATCCCCTAGTAGGTGCCAGGCAGCAGCGACAGCCCCAGCAGGGGCATCCATGGCATCACAAAGCCACAGGGCTCAGTGACCTGACGGCCAGGGATGAGTTGGAGGATGGCGGGTTCAGATGCCCAGATCAAAAAGTGCAGGGTCGGGCTTACTGGATCTTACTGGGTGGTTTTATACTGCTTCAGGATGGTTCAGGTATATGATGTATATGGGTTTTATATGGTTTAATCAGATGTTCTTGCTCGCCGAGTCTTGATGTTCTGCGCGAGCCATCTTCAAAGGTCGTGGCAAGCATCTGCAGGTTGCGCATCTGTCCCTTCTCTTTTGGTGTTCGCATATGCGGCTGCCACCACAAAGCGTGCAATTGCGGAGTTCCCGGTTGTGAGGGCAGAGAGTCAAGATCTCAAGTTTAGCAGGCTTTGGGGTCACATCCGAAGCCGGAATCCAAGGACTCAATTTGCCCAGCTTCTTCCCGCAAGCGAGGTGTCCGTGTTGAGGAACCAAAACACTGATTTGCTGGGTGCCCGGGTGTCGGAAAAACCAGCTGCTTGATATGGTTGCTGAGCACAAACCACACTGCAGCTGAATTACATCCTCCCCTTCGAACACCGTCGGCAAGCCCTGGACTTTCTTGTTCGGATAGAATACGCTGTTCGAGACGCCACTGCTATCAGCAGCTGGTAGACGATTGGCAACAGACGTCTTCTTGTCATGCTGCCCAACCTTCGCACCATCTGACCCACAAATCAGCGAGCGAAGCTGATGCCACTGCTGCGTCGCTGAAGTGGCTGGCAAGGCAGCAAAGTCAACTTGATCACACAATCCCTGGATAAAGGCCAGGGGGCTCTCAAGACATCTCCGCGTGTTGTCGTCCTCTAGGTCAATGTTTTGCAGGGCGGTGATCAGCGCACGGCGAATTCGCCTCTGCAGCTGGGAGAAATCCGGTCTGGCACCTTCCTTCTGCTCCAAAAATCTTGGATCTTGCGCTGTAGCCCCTCGCACCACCGGCCAATTCAGCCAGGCTGCCAGGCGACGAACCAAGCGGCACAGCCTGTCACCATCCAGGCCATCGCCATCCTCCAGTAATCGTTGCAGTTCCGCTTCAGTTTGGTCCATCCATTCCAGTTGCTCCTCTGCAGTGGCATTGCGGAAGCGCCCCATCTCCTTCTGCAGGCGTTTGTCGCGCAGGGATTGGGGCAAGGCACCAGCTTGCGACGCGGCTGGCCGCGGAACATCATCCGTCCGCTCCACAAGCGTGTGAGCGGACACCGCACCGCGCGCATGTTTCAGGACCGCCTCCTTTGAAGGATCTGAGGTGAGGATGTCCACCGCAACCCCATCAACGATGGAAAAGGTCACTGCTTGGCCAATTTTGAGGCACGGCCCCCTGTGGAACTGGAGCCTGGCCAATTTCCCATTCTCTGAGTGATATGCCACCACCCCACCTCCATAATAGTGGAGCTGGCAAACATGTCCCAACATGGCAAGTCTCTACTTTGGAGACAGCTGCTTGATCCAAACAAACCATGTGCGACTGATGCCGCGGCAAACCCGCAAACTCAAGGAAACTAAAACAAGTGCAAAAAAAGGAAAGGACATCGTTGGAAATCATCTTGCTATCCGTAGCCCTGGCAGTTGAAGCCGTCTCAACGATGGAAACCTCCTCAACCCAACATTGCTTGAGGGGTTACATGGGGTTACTGTACCTTTACAGCTTGCAGTGCGGAATTTAAGGTTCAACAAATATTACACTCCCCTGGCAAGGTTAAATCCCCACAAAACGGATGGCTCCAGATTGGCCCAGTCACCGCTTAAATGTGGAGTCGACAGTGGACTTTCCCGAACAAAATATGAAAAAATGGCAAATCCACTGGGCGACGATGCCGCGTCCTTCTGGCCATTCCAACAACCCCCGATTTTGTTTCCTGGGATCAAAAAAGAGTTTGGGACATTTCCCAGATCTGAATTGATTTGGAGTATCATCCCAATGTTTATCCCATTCGAAAACTATGGTGCATCCATTTCAACGAAGAACAAAAACTGTCGACGATGTGGGGCATCTCAATTCGCTTGTCGGCAGAAAAAACGCTCTAACCACCCAATGTCGACTTCAACCTTGACCTCAAGGTTGCTTTTCTCAAAGAAAAAGGTAGGTTCGAAGCCAACCAAAAGTCTTCATAAAACGTTCTTTTCACCAAAAAAAACTGAGGAATTCCAATATATATCAGCTACAGTAAATGGGAAACCCCCACAGGCAAGATAAGGGATACAAATGGCTTCAATATGCAAGCAACAACGGGTGTAAAAACCAATAAGTTCCCCAGGAGATGATTGGTGGCTTGGTAGCGGTGCAGGACATCGATGTGATGTGCGACAGCAGCTACGCACCTGAACCTGGGTAATTTCAAGCTTTTTCTGGTTGGTGGGGGCCACCTACCCCAATGGTGGTTAATGGTGGTTAATGGTGGTTAATGGTGGTTAATGGTGGTTAATGGATGTTAATGGATGTTAATGGATATATATATATATATGGTTGGTGGTTGGATAAATATCTGGTTGGTGGGGGCCACCTACCCCTCTCAAAAATGATGGAGTGAAAGTCAGTTGGGATGATGACATTCCCAACTGAATGGAAAGTCATAAAATTCCATGGTTCCAAACCACCAAGCAGTTTTAAAATATTGGCATGTTGGGACCAGTGGTTTGTCAGATCGATTTCTTCACAAACAACTGCACTGTGCAAGCACAATCCTTCGAAACCCTGCGGGAAGATGGATTAGGATGTGGCCCGGTCCTACTGCTTAACAAGTTCAGACCTTTTTTCCCAAGGGAAACAGTTGCAAACCCCATCATTTCTGATATAGTCAACTGGGGATTCTTCACTACTAGTAGATTCCATTCAAATTTGGTCCTGGCTGCTGAGATTCCAAAAAAAAAATCTGCTTCTACTGTAAATCAGGGAATGTTTGAGGTACACTAATCAAGGGTACGGATCTACGTAAGGTCTATGTAAAGCCCATGTCAGGGAATAACCCTGCAACATATGGCCTTATATGGTAAAAAATAAGGTAAAGTATCTCCATTTTAGGGGCCTGAAATTCACATTAACTCAAGTAGACTACCTGGTTGGTGGGGGGCCACCTACCCCTCTGAAAAATGATGGACAACTCGTCAGTTGAGATGATTATTCCATTCCCAATATATGGAAAGTCATAATCCAGCCATGTTTCAGTCACCACCAACCAGTGTAGTATAGATCTATTAAGTCCATATTAAGTCCCATATTAAGTCCTGCTCCAGTCACCACCAACCAGTACTACACATAGCAAATACCATCGCATCCGATCCGCCTGGAAGACCGAGAAACTTTCAAAGCCTCAGCGTTTTTTTGTCAAATTCCATTGTGGTAATTCGGAATCATAGTGGATCATAGTAATCATCATTTATGGGTGAGTTTGACCCCACTTGGAACCCATAAATCATAGTAAAAACCGAAAGATCTTCCCCCAAAAATCATCAGAATCATAGTGGATCATAGTGGATCTTCTTGAATTAATACCCTCTGGTTATTTAACATAGCCATGGAAAATCACCATTTTTAATAGGTAAACCATCTATAAATGGGCCATTTTCAATAGCTATGTTAGTTTACCAGAGGGTAACTATTAAATTAATAACCGTATATTCGCCACAGCTTCGAGTTGAAACTGTTTCTTTGAAACCCTCAAAAACGGCCGGTGAACCCAGCAGCATCGGACAAGCCGGAAACATGTAGAAATGCGTTTTGCAAAGATCGAACACTTTTTATCTTGTCACTCGGTACAATGATTGCGCAGTTGAGATAACAATGATAAAACACAACAGAATGTCACACTAGGTCCAATGGATTGGTTTAACGGAAAATCTACAGCGGAAACCACAACGATGCGATGATGTCATCAACCTTTTCTACCCACACAAAAAATCACGTCTGGACATGTTTGACAATTTTCCATATCATACCATCCAAAACCAAAAACCAAAATTACATGTTCAAATAGTACAGTACATAGAACGCATAGATACTGAGTCATCCCATTCTTTCCCCATTCTCCCAGCATTTTTCATGGTAAAATCACAATTTATGGTGAAATCACCATAAAACCGAGCCGCTGCCGTCCGGCTCCTTGGCCATGTGGAAACAGGGCGCCCACTGCAGGAAGGACGCGAAGATGGCGGGCAGAAAGGCGTTGCCTGTCCCACATTTTCCCACGGCGTCACCAGAGGTGTGGACCTGAACATGGGGTAAACCTACAAATGGCTATCTGGTTGAACCATGTTGAACCCCTCTGAAAAATGATGGACAACTCGTCAGTTGGGATGATGACATCCCAATATATGATGGAAAGTCATTACACAAATCCAAACCACCAACCAGCTATTATATTGCAATAACATGATGAGCATTGAGACATGATGATGGAAGATTCCATATAAAATGGAGGTGATAATATGATGATCATATTTATTGGGGAGCATGATGATAAACTAATGGATTTAGGGCTATTTTCACGACAAACCCATGTGAACATTTCAACTTCATGTTAAACATTGTAAACAAAAAACATGGATACACCTGAAAAACAACTTTAACCACAGGATACGCACGCTAACCATTGGATAAGCGTATGAAAAAACATGGGATAAACATGTTAACATTTGTTTATCCATTGTTTACCAATAAACATGCGGAAACAAATCCTATACTCATGATAAGCATTAATAAACCACTATAGACTGTTTTTTGGTTTATCTATTTTTTTAAACATCTAGATGTATCTGCAAGGTGAACTTGGGACTCATATGCTGATGAGGTAGATCAACACATGATTGGTGAACGTGATAAACATATGGTGGTTAGTTAGGCGGAATGGGGTAGACAGCCCCAAAGGAGACTCCACAATCAACACAGAGACTTCAGCATCAACAAAAACATGATTGAAGTTGCCCAAAAGTGGAACTCGCTAACAACATATCAATTCCACTGGTCCCAGGAGTCTGTTGTGCACTTGGTTCTATCTGATAGAACATCAAGATATATGATTCATGTATGATCCATGTCAGATTGATGAAGGATGACTCTTGGCTGGGTACATTTCTGTTAACCAACACATTTCCTCTTCAAACTTGGGCACCCAAGTATCTGGCCATGTGGCTGTATCTGGTTGAATAAGTCTTGTTCCGAAATCAGAAGTACCTACTAGCATCGACTAGCCACATCTAGTCATTAGTTACTTAATTATATCTGGTTGGCCGGTGAGGTCGCTATAATTTACTCAACTTGGTTGAAAACACTCAAAAACCATGTTCTTAAAGGTAAAAAATCATATACTTTTCAGTTCATAAAGACAATGAACAGCAAATATGTTCTACTTTACAATAGCGACTGTGCAATGCCCTTTTCAGTATCATCCACTATACTGGCTGGTCGACAGGGCTTTACCAGCAATTAGCATTAAGGTACATGCTTTGTATAAACACTGATTTACCCCCAAAAAAAAACAACTACAATGTACATCGGATGTCTGTGTCTATTCCCACAGTTGAGTCATCATAATCTCTATCCTACATTAATAGTCAGACATAGGTGTCCCGAAATGGATAGATAGAACGGTCTTTCCACGATGTGCTCCCGTTTTACGGACCGGCCTAGCACCAGCGTCCGGCGCAGCCAGCTGGCCCCGAAGGACTCCGAGCGACTCAGCAAGCCGTAGATTTCCTGGTGCTTTCGGGGGCCCACGGGATCCATGGGGGGATTTTCGATTACCATCTGGTTATGACTAACAGTTTGCCATGGAAAGATCCACCATTTTTATCTATTTCGATTGGGGCCATCTATACCATAGCGAACTGTTAGTCATAACCACAGGGTAGATTTTAGCTGCGTGAAAGGATAAAGATAAGAATATGTGGCAACTTCTTATGTTACTTGCATTAATGGGGGGATTTAGAAAGAAAATCATTGGATTTCACTGCTACAATGCGGAAGAACGGAGGTTTCACCATCAACAAATGGGGCATCATGGGTGATATCAGTCTCATTAGGATCATCCTGCGAAGATTTCGTCTTTTTTTAGGGCATGGACCGTTCAGCAAAACCAGGACATGTATCGTCCATCAAACATAGGGGCATTAAGGGCACGACTTGGGACTACTTACAGTAACTAGATGTAACTAGATCATACTAGATCCACAGTTGGGTTCCATGAGTAGTTTGACCCCCAGTTGTACCATGTTGTACCCCAAATGCTCCAAATGGTTCAAGGTTCGGAACCTTTGACTAAATTCGCCGTTCCTATGAATGTCCACGATCATGATCTATTATTTGGTATTGACATCCATTGTGGATTACCTATGGATTACATGTGGATTATCCATTCCTTGGCTCAGATGCTTTGATCCAATCTGGACCCGACATCGGACACATCTTTCACCAAGGAACTAGCACCAGGAAGATCAAGAGAAAGGCCAAACAGTGGAAGGTCTGCAGCCCCAAAAAGTGCCATCCTCAGGCCGATTTTCAGAGTTGAACACAGGGCACGTGTCCCAAAAATCAGCAGGCTAGGTGCAAATTGCCTGGGCAGCGTTTTCATGAAGAATTCGAAAGTGGCTGGAAATCATCAATAGTATGCTTCAGGAATTCGTATCCAAAGGAACAGCAGCTAAGGTATAACAAACATCCACAGGCTACCTACTCTTCAGTAATTGTATAGTATCCAAAGGAAGAGCAGTATTTATATATATATATTATATATAAATCAGTATCATTCAGTATCAGTGTTCTCCAAAGGTATACTCTTTCTATCCACCAACACCACCAACACCTCAGTTTCCCTACTTCAGTCGTTTTTACGTTTCTCTCTGTCTTCATGCCATGTCCTCCAAGTCAAGACTCGTGAGGCATGGCCGCCCATCAAACAATCGAAGCTTGCGGACAGCAAGGTGGCACCACCCGCTTCACTCTCGGCTTCCAACAGACCTACCGCTGTTGCGAAGGGACTGGCTGACGGGGTTCTTGTGACATTTATAGAGATCAAAAGACGGAGAGTCAGACCACGGTAGCTACAGCGTGACTGCTTACACCAGAGTGACAATGTAAACCTCTGGTAAACTAACAGTTTGCTATGGTATAGATGGCCCATATATAGAAATAGATGGTTTACCGAACTTAAAAATGGTGGATCTTTCCATGGCAAACTGTTAGTCATTACCAGAGGGTAAACCTCGGTGACTTTGGCAAACGTGGCTGGGAAATCCATGGAAATCCCCAGCGGAACGCTTCTCTGGCCCAGGAACTCCTGAATTACCCCAGGAAACAACACGACTGGGATCACTTAGAACCACGTATTCTGTGGTTGAAAAGGAAACAACACATCCACAAAATGAATAGTTGTAGATCAATTGTATTCAATTATATCATGTTATAGCGATAAATTTTAAACCATGACAAACCATGCACCTTATATCCGACATTAGGAACTCCTAGTACTTTATATTTGTTTATAACATGGATTTTCCTATATTTTTCGTGTCCATGTCTACCCACATCCCACATTCGTAACTAGCAGCGGCCTAGCGCTACGGTCAACTGCGTCCGCAACTCACGATAGATTGTGGTCCTGGACCCATGAAAACCCCAAGCAGGCTGATGGCAATCTTATCAAAGTGGGGCGCCATGCATAGCTAGACTAGCTAGTTTGTTTTAATACCGAGGTTGTAATGGATAACTTAATACCTCATCAAAGATTAGCTAATTTGTTTATCACTTCAACACCTATTGTTTATGGTAGTTATAGCTTTAGTTATTGGGGGTTGTAAATCAACTCATAACTGCGCGGGGCCCACATTGTAGACACAGTCAACTTGGCAATTGTCTATAACATGATGTGAAAACATGTTTTGATCAAATGCTGGCATAACTCAAAAAATATTTCTGAAATACCTATGGCATCCAATAGCCGCATTGATGTACTGACTACTCTTTATGAAGTTTCGTTGTTGTGAGGTCATATGGCAGAATTCAGCCCCTGGGACGACACTTTTTTTCATAACCACCAAGAAATGGGCATAGCTCAAAATTATGTACTATTATTTCGAGATGGTTACACTAAAAAAGCTACACATCCCACATGTTGTTTGCGACACAACACGTTCCTAATTTGCAGACACAACACATTGAATCATTGCCTCGTTTGGGTCGTTGATGTTTTGTTTTTCTGGAGTCCTGGCCCCATTTCTGCTGCACCAGGGGAAACAAAAAAATCACCCGACTCAGCAACTCATCGCGGTTTTATCCATAGCCCATAGGATCCATGTATGCTATATATGGTAACATTTACCATCAATATACCCCCAATGTTAGCATATATACCAGCACCATGGATCCTATGGGTAGTATTCCTAATAAACCATAGTATCTACCATAGACTTCACTGACTTCACCGAGTTTTTGCCCCCGCAACTTAGGCACAGACCTTTGGAACTTTGAAGGCTCAGAATCTATGGATCTTGGTAGATCTGTCGCCAAGGCACTGCTCCAAGATGTTTTGAATCGTGGCCAGAAAGGTCCCAAAGGACAAAATCACCTGTCAGAGTGGCGACGACCAGGGTCATGGGGGTGTTGAATCATGTAAGCAAACACAAGCAAACATCATATGTGTACATGATAAATTAGGCAGATTAATAATTACGAATAATGTACGGTTAATAATTAATATCAATATATTAAACCCATGAACAATAATATGTGGGTTACCATCCAGTAAATTAACATAGACCTTGCCACATCGGCGCTTGGAAGACGAGTTTCCACTAAAAACTCACCAGTTTCAGGGTCAGACTGTTAATTTACTGGAGGGTAATAATCCCATATCACATTAATTATCATCCCCAACTGGTAGGTTTATGGCATTTGGATGCATTTGGTTTCTCACTTTATGGTTTCTATCAATACGGTCTTTTTTTTTGGTGAAAGGGGTACCTTTCAGGGGGTATCCATAGATTGCAATGAGAAAATTTGTCCTTTTAAATGCCTGCAAGCCTTTGGTTCTGTCCAGTTCCAGCTAACATACAGTTCTGTACAGCTCCATTTTTGTGCTTGAAAAAGAACCCCCACTGAGCGGTGCTACTGGTTGGTGAATTGGATGTTTCATCATCTGTAGTCAGAAATCCCAGCGGCAATACAAAAGGTCCAATTATGATTAACCAATTAACCACCATCAACGGATCCTCACCCAGACATTCCCACGACTTTTCACAGCCCTTTCCAGTGCTCACAGCATGCTTTGGCACCTTGATCACCATACTCATTCGTTCCTTTTCCTTGGTCACGACATGTCCCAAGCCATGTGGCCGCTGCCTCCCGGTTGACTGACCGAACTGCCGTTGGTTTTAAGAAGACCACTGGGAGCTGCTGTTTCCAGTTGGTCAAAATCATATCCACTTAAGGAATCTGTTGGTCAAAAATGGTCAAAATATACCAATTCATTCCTCATTCCGCGAAAAAAATAACATAACCATCCATGTTTTCTGGGCAAGGTATCCTGCCCTGGCCAATTCATTTGGAAACTTCCTGCTAGACAAGTGAAACATGTCCGACTGGTCAGCTTGGAGCAAACAGCACCCCGAATTTGTTCCCTGTTTTTGGCTCTCAAAACATGTTTGTTGCCCTAAAATCATCTAAGTCATCAACATTGGTGCTGTTTCAAAAACAACACCAATTTTTGAGTGGCAAAAATGGTCCAATAGTATGTGATTTCCCATAGGATCCATGGTGCTGCTATATATGGTAACATTTAATTACCATCAATATACCCCAAATGTTAGCATATATACCACACATGGATTTTATGGGTTTGGTGATAATCCATCCCCCAAATCCCCGAATCCCCAACTTGCCACGTCGTGGCCGAGCGACGGTTTGACTGGCCGAGCGCACAGCCAGCAGCAGTGGCACCTGGGTCCGGTTTCATGGAGAGCTCGCTGGGAAAGGCCATTTTCCATGGCTATATGGTGGTTTCCTAAGTCACTGGGATACCCCCAAATCATATTTGTTTGGTGATTTTGTCCAAAAACAATCCAGATATATCCAGATATTGCGGGAACTCCATTTTCAGAAACCCCGATCTGTTAGATAATCATGGCATATCTTGTTGATCTTGCTTGTATATCTTCATAGATGATGAATCTCAACCCAACATGGTGATAGAACCAACAAACAATGTGAAGACGTTGTTGCAAAAATGATAAGGTTCCGTTTTCTGGGTGCAGAACAAAACATATACCCTCTGGTTATTTAACATAGCCATGGAAAATCACCACTTTTAATAGGTAAACCATCTATAAATGGGCCATTTTCCATGGCTATGTTAGTCATAACCAGAAGGTAATCTAAACCTTGAGCTTTCAAGCATTTCAGGTATTCACTGAAGGTGTCAACTATGCCCAAACATGGACATCCTGGAGTTGCTCCCTCTGCAGCATGGATTTTTCACACCTGGAAGGCCAGGGTTATGTACTGTCCAAGTTAAGTCATATCAGTCTAGATCAAATATGGTGGTTTCCTTACAATGGAAATTCCCAATCTAATATGGATGATTTAGGGGTACCCCTATTTTAGGAAACCACCATATGGCTTTGTCTTGCCATACATCTTATCATGTGTATCCCAAAATCCACTGCTTCATCATTATTTGCCCTGTATCGCCATGACTGGGTCACAACTTGTCCTCGGTAAAAAAAAAAACAAAAAACACTGAGTTTCAAACCCAAAATCATCCAAATCACATTGGTGCATTACCATGAAACATATATAAACATATCCTCATATTAGATACCCATGAAACATATATTCCCACAAAATGCTTGGTGTCATCATGTGTCATTCCGTTTTAAAATGGTCAATCGGATTTTCAGGGCCCTTTAGGGCCCTGAAATAGAGCTACTGTACCATATCAACCCATAGAACTTGGCAACCTCTCTGCTAGGCACCTCCAATAACTCGGTACCTGAAATGGCCATGGCCAGAGGTTTCCCATGTCCTAGGGCCTCCCCAAAAAAATCATCCAGCTATGGGGTACCCCACCTTGATGGAAACCCCCATAGGTGTAGGTTGATATATACCATGAACTAGTCCCTTCCCCCTATTACTAAACCTCCGCCAAATAATAAAAACTATGGTCCATCTCCAATTTGGGGAGGGATTAGTTGGAGAATCTTCGATATATCTACCCAAAACTAAACCGTGAATGGAGTTTTCACCATTGGTTTATTGGTTTACTATCATTTTCCCCACCCATTTGATGCCATTTGGGGGTCAACAAAACCCGATGGACCCCCTTTCCGAGGAACCACCGGCAGCAGCAGGAAGTAGACCAGGCTCAGGTCCCAGCGACCGCATTGGACGCACTCGAAGGGATCCTGGGAACCGAAAAGGTGGCCGAGTCCACTGGTGATCAATGGATACCCTCTGGTTAGGACTAACATAACCATGGAAGCCATGGCCCATTTATAGATTGTTTATCTGTTAAAAATGGTGGATCTTTCCATGGCTATGTTAGTTTACCAGAGGGTAGAAATGGTGATTTTATGATTTTATGCTCCATGGTTGCCAATCAGAAATGGAAACCGAAATGGTTTGCAGTTTGCATACCATTTTTTAAACATAAAATCAATGGATAGAAAAACATACTGAAAAATGATCTTAAATGCTGACTGAATGGTGGTTTTATCCGAAGTTCCACTGACACTTTTGCAGAACAAAAACCTTCCCCGGTGGGGCACTGGGATTTCCACCGGGCAAAGATATAGCTCTTATAGACATGGCTTGTATATACAGAAAACAAACAGAACAGAGATATGTTCAAGAAGCTTTAACAATGGCTTTTATGTCCTTGTAAGATCTGGTAAGATCTACTTAGCCTTAGAGTCTTCTTAGAGTCTTCTTGGAGTTTTCTTAGAGTCGTTTTGTAGGTCTGTAGTTGGAAATCCTGAACAGCAAACAGCAACTATCATGAGCCCATATCAAACCTCCATTCCTCGGGTTTTCGGATATATGACTGGGGAACCTAACCTCTGGTTGTTTAACATAGCCATGGAAGCCATGGCCCATTTATCGATGGTTTACCTATTAAAAATGATGATTTTCCATGGCTATGTTAGTTTACCAGAGGGTAAACATGGTTTGCTGCTAGCCACCACATATTCGAGGACAAGTTCCATCATATTCTTTCATCACTTCTTGTTGGTCAAACATTCATACTGTTCCGATGTTTTAGTGCATCCACTGCGGCTGAACCTTTTGTCTTGATTTGAAAATCTGCGGGAAAATCCTGTCTCTTTCCATCAAACACGGGGCTAAAGCTTGCAACCTGGTGGCTCACCTCACTTAGCGGGTCATAACCAGCAAATGCTGAGTAAATAGGCTCAGTCCAGTTAAAACTGCGGCTTTCTGAGCCATGTGCTCACCGGGAAATGTCCCCGCATATATCCAATTACATTGTTTTCCCAGTATCCCATCATTCTCCCATGACTAGAAATATATGTGGGATACTGGGAAAAATTATCAAAATATATCATCCCATCACACTAGAAATATATTTTCCCAGTGAATCCCATTATCAAAATCGTTTTTTTTTAGGCACCCACTGTGCTATTCCGACGTCGCCCAGCCACGAGGTTTTGTCGTCCGTAGCCTGTGGCGCATTGGGTGCAGCCGGCAGACGAGTCATCGTAGCCTCCAGCCTGACACGACGACTTCGTGGTCAGGGACAATTCCCAGTGGATTTTATGTGTTTTTTTGGGAATAGAATAGGAATAATAGGATTGATATAGACATAATATAGAAATCATACAGGAACAATATAGGAATAGTCACACTTAAAGTAGTTACAATAGTTACAGTGGTTATAAAAGTAATATTCGTTATAATAGTTTAGATGATTATAATAGTTTTAGTAATTATACGACATTTGATAGTTAAAATAGTTTTAAGCCTTACAATAGTTACATGAGTTAAAACAGTGGCCATAGTTATAGGTCTTAGTAGTTATAATAGGGATATAATGTGACTTATTTAGTATATAGGTGGGACCAGACACCAAGTATGTGGGATCCGCAAAATAATTGGAAGGTCATGGGGATTTAACAATCGATCAATCATGGACGTTTTCCCACAGGAGTCCCTTGAAAGGAAGTGATAAGATCCACGGGTTGCTATTGTTGGGAAGATCTTCACCGGAAACTGGCTGGGCAAAAGAATATTACCCAATATTAACACAATGTCTTGTTAAATACCACCATTTTGGTTGGTGAAAAATCACAACTTCTGTTTTGTAATATGGCTTAAAACCATACCAAACCGACATTTTGGTTGCTTAAACTCCCATATTTTGGTTGGTAAAACTCCCACTGTTGGGGTCCCACTTCTGCATTGGGATGACAAGTTGTCCACCCTCTGAGTCTTCCAACGCAACGTTGGTTTTGCGTGAGGTTGTCAGCGACCACCATATCTCCTGGCACGAGTCAACATGGCTGTGTCCAATGGTACCTCAAAATCAATCGGATAGGTATCTACACTATAGTTTATATTAGTTTACTATAGTGTATAATATATTTATAGTAAACTAATTATGGTATATTTATGGTATCTATAATCGTTTATTATATTTCTCATGACAACCGACATACCATAGCGATACTATGAGTTGATGGGTGTATTCATACACCCGAAAAGAACGACACCAGAAACGACGTCATTTGCCAAGATTCACATCCCAAGTATGTCTGGTTGGTGGTTGACTTACCCCAAGGGTGGTTAATGGTATGGTTAATGGTGGTTAATGGTGGTTAATGGTGGTTAGTGGTGGTTAGTGGTGGTTAATGGTGGTTAATGGTGGTTAATGGTGGTTAATGGTGGTTAATGGTGGTTAATGGATATATGCATATATCCTGGTTGGTGGTTGACAAAAATCCCTCTGAAAAATGATGGACAACTCATCAGTTGGGATTACGACATTCCCATATGGAAAAATGAAAAATCATCCAGCCATGTTCCAGTCACCACCAACCAGAGAATGTATCCTCCATATACAAACCAACACACCCCAAGTTTTGGTCGCTACCACCAGACGCCTCCGGGGCAGGCCCCCGCATTGGGACAGCGGTAGAAGCGCAGGCCATGCCTGGTGTTACCTGCAGTGTTGGCTGGGGGAAGTGGGTTATGAAATCTTGGGTTCAAAAACATGTTGTGATGGTTTCAAACCATCAAAATATGTCAAAAAATGATGATCAATGGTTTATCATATTTAAATGATGGTTATAAACAGTCAACACATCGTGGTCTACATGTTTGAACCATCATGACAAAAGGATCTTCACCACGTTGTCCGCAACGATCATGAGCCTCCTCATAGCTGATTCACGCACGCTTCAGTGGGATCGTATCTGAGTGGTTATGCATCCCCTTTCAACTAGGTGTTTCGTATGAGTTAGTTATAAGCCACTTGTTAACCAGTACCTTACCACATCTTACCACTATTCAGATCTATTCAGAACATCTGCAGGAAAGTTTTCGCCCAACAGCTATGGGGCCGCACCTCTCAGCGCCATCAGCCCTCGAGGCACTCGAACACTTCCTCGCTCTCCCAGGATGTTCCATTATCAACCATCCATTCTGGGGTACCCCTTATTTTAGGACATCCTCATCTATAAATAGATATGCATACCATAATTTGACAAGATTCACTATCATGGTTTCTAGATTTTATAGATTTACATGATACTTTCTACGCAAGATGATATTGAGCTTCCTAGATTTATGGATGGAACACATACCTCTTACGCCAAGCATCGCCCAGCACAGTTCGGCATCTTGCCCACCTGGTCTTCCAATCAAGGTGATGAGTTAGTGATGAGTATATCAAGGTAACCCCAAATTATGATAAATCATAGTAAATCATTGGTAAGTCATAGTAAATAATAATAATGATGATGATGATTAGTAATTTTGATCTTCAAGAAACACATTGGTAAATCATAGTAAATCATCAACAAAAAAGGCAGTCTTCGCTTTTCAAAGACATAAACTGCTCTGGACCAATCCTCAAATATTATCTTGGGAGAAAAAAAACATCCCAGTGATATGGTTGAACTATACGTATACACACATGTGATGTGGTAAACACAAGGCCATAGAAATCATCCTTAATATCCAAACAAGTAGATCCCAGTCATGGAAGGTCTGTGGCGGCCAGGGTTTCCCACAGCCCGAGTCGTCGCCTGCGTGACCACGTCCGCGCAGCTCAAGCAGTCGCCTTCCAATACGCTACCGGACCTCTGCGCGTAGATGGGCATGACATGGGCCAGAGCAAAATCCGCCGACCCCTGCCGACAGCAGGGGGAGCGCGTCAGAGAAGAGATTACAAGCAACAAGTGTTGTGCAGTGCAAGTGAGGGGCAAGCGAGGGGGGGACAGAAAGGGAAGCCAGGTGCAGAGTAAGAAGCCCAAAAAAGGAAGCGAGAAAGGAGGGGCAGTCTCAGCGAACGTAGCGGGGCAAGCGAGGGGGGGACAGAAAGGGAAGCCAGGTGCAGAGTAAGAAGCTCAAAAAAGGAAGCGAGAAAGGAGGGGCAGTCTCAGCGAACGTAGCAAGCGAAAGAAGCACGAAACAAGAAGTTAAAGCAAGAATGCAGAAGCAAGAGTAAACGAGCGACAGAAAGTAATGTTTGGCACTCTGGGCTACGGGCCGCGGGCCCAATCCGTCCTTCACTGCCATGGTGTTTTAGCCCTGCGAGGAGGTCCCTTGACCGGAGCTGTGCCGCACGAAAGCCAGCTGTCAGACAATGCAGGCAAGTTGGCAGTTGGCAGTGGGCAGTGCAGGAACGCAGGGAAAAGCCAGGTTTGAGCTGCAAGACGACGCAGGCAAAGTGGCAGGGAAAAGCAAGGTTTGAAGCTAGTTTCTAGGCAGTTCAGAAGGCAACGTTTGGCACCGTGGGCTGCGGGCTGCGGGCCCGATCCGTCCTTCAGTGCCATGGTGTTGGGGCCCTGCGGAGGGGTCCTTGGACTCGAGCTGACGGCAAGACACAGCAAGGTTTGAAGCTAGTTTCGACTTGACCGGAGCTGTGCCGCACGAAAGCCAGCTGTCAGACAATGCAGGCAAGTTGGCAGTTGGCAGTGCAGGAACGCAGGGAAAAGCAAAGTTTGAAGCTAGTTTCTAGGCACTGCAGAAAGCAACGTTTGGCAGTATGGGCTGCCGGCCGCGGGCCCGATCCGTCCTTCACTGCCATGGTGTTTGAGGCCTGCGACAGGGTCCTTGGACCCGAGCTGACGCCAGGAAACAGCAAGGTTTGAACCGGCAGACCTGGTCCGTCCCTCAGGGCCCTGCTGTTTGGCTGTGGCGCAGGCGCCGTTTTGGGTCAGACAGCAAGGTTTTCTTGTAGGTTCAGAAAGCAACGTTAGGCACTCACGGCCGTGGCCCGCAGGCCCGATCCGTCCTTCACTGCCATGGTGTTTGAGGCCCGCGACAGGGTCCTTGGACTCGAGCTGACGGCAGGAAACAGCAAGGTTTGAAGCTAGTTTCTAGGCAGTTCAGAAAGCAACGTTAGGCACTCACGGCCGTTTTTGAATGTTTGTGACGGCCGGAAAGGGCGCGTTTTTGAAGGTTTGACGGCTGGAAGAGAGCTTGTTTTCTTGTAGGTTCAGGAAGCAACGTTAGGCAGTGGGAGCGGTTGCCCGGAGGCTCGGTCCGTCCTTCAGGGCCCTGCTGTTTGGGCGTGGCGGAGGCGCCGTTTGTGAGCCTTGACGGCTGGAAGAGAGCTAGTTTGGGAGCCGTTGCCCCGAGGCTCGGTCCGTCCTTCAGGGCCCTGCTGTTTTGCTGTGGCGAGGGCGCCGTTTGTGAGCCTTGACGGCTGGAAGAGAGCTAGTTTTTTTGTAGGTTCAGAAAGCAACGTTAGGCACTGGGAGCCGTTGCCCGGAGGCTCGGTCCGTCCTTCAGGGCCCTGCTGTTTTGCTGTGGCGAGGGCGCCGTTTGTGAGCCTTGCCGGCTGGAAGAGAGCTAGTTTTCTTGTAGGTTCGGAAAGCAACGTTAGGCAGTGGGAGCCGTTGCCCGGAGGCTCGGTCCGTCCTTCAGGGCCCTGCTGTTTTG